ATAAATTAGGTAGGTAATAAGAGCGAACCTATAACTGATATTCTAAAATCAATGTTAATTATCAGAAACTAGATCTCATGGTTACCATATTAAGTTACTATATTTTAACAATACCAGTTTTTCTATAGATCATAGAAATTGTGTTTAGGATTTTTACCAACCCTTTTTCTTTGCTACCCACAGGCCTCGCTGCTGGAGTGGCGTCTTGTGTTCTGGGTGGCTTTCGGCGTGCTCTGCGTCACCGCCGTAATCTACTGCATCTGGGCATCCGGAGAGGTACAACCGTTCAACAACGCTCCAATCCAGCCACGCACCGTGGACTTCGAGGCGCAGGAACGCAAACCGGAAGCCGGAAAGTCCAGGGGTCTGGAGCAGAGCTCTTAAGGCGGATCGCCAACGAAAGTGCCATATACATATACATTGTAATCTAGTTAAAATGCTATCTACGTGGATTCGTGATCCGCAACGAGTCGATACCAAGGGCATTGTCGTACTGTATGCGCCGTGCCTGTTGTTCAGATTGCTAGTTTTATAGTATTCCCGATCTGGCCGATCCCTGGCTAAGGCGCCAACCAACTAATTTAAGCGAATTTACTTACACTCCCCAACGTGCGCAGTGTTCTTCTATGTGTATTCCTGTTTTAGCTAGGATAACCCATTTCCCTAATCCCTTACGCCGCGCACGCAACGTACTCTCTTAATTATTATTTAGTATTTAAATAAAAAGCGTTTCACGTTTAAGATTTAGTGTGCACAGAGCTCGTATTGCCGTATTTTAAATGAAATGATGAAATAATTTGTACATTTTAGATTGTTGATCAATGTGTAAAGTGAAACGTGTTTTTAACTGTTCTGTTAAGACATTACTGTTTTTATGACGTTAGTCAAATAAAGTGTATAAAGCAAGCCAAGATACCAAACGCCGTTGTCATTTAATAGTGTTGGTTGTAGCTTCCCTAATACTCTAAAGGGACGCTAGAAACTTGATGTATATACCATAGAGCAAGTAAAATATAGCTATAGATAATATACTTTATATGTACATATAATATATATTTTATAGTCTTTGGTAGAACTAAAGTTTCTGGGAGCTTAGAGCTGGAAACTGAGAGTTGGCAGCTGAGAGGCTACATTATGTATCTACTCTAAAGATATATATTTTAAAAGAGCGTAATTAAGTGGAAACTGTAAAAGCGAGAGCAGACAACTTTTACTCAACATTTCATAGGGGTCCTAGGTGCCAAATTAGATTCGATTTGTCCCTACAATGGCTCCAAACAGTCCCAAATATTGATTTAAGGAGCAGAATTAAAATTTTAAATGCCCCATAATCATTGAATCGAATTATGAAATCATATAATCGAATCAAAGAATCGATTTATCGAGTCAAATCATAGAATCAAATCAAAGAATCGATTCATAGAGTCGAATCATAAAAACGAATCATAGAATCGAATCATAGAATTGAACCATAGAATTCACAGAGTCGAATCAGAAAATCGAATCATAGAGTCGAATCATAGAATCGAATAATAGAGTCCAAGCCCAGGATCGAATTATAGAGTGGAATCATTAAATGGATTCATAGAGTCGAATCATAAAATCGAATCATAAAATCGAATCATAGGGTCGAACCATAGAGTTGATTTATAAAATCGAATCATAGAGTCGAATCATAGAATCGAATCATAGAGTCAAACCATAGAGTCGAATCATAGAATCGATTCATAAAGTCGAACCATAGAAACGAATCATCAAATCGAATGAACGAGTCCAATCATAGAATCGAATCATTGAATCGAGTCTTAGAGTCAATTCATAGAGTAGAATATAGAGTCAAATCATAGATTCGAATCAAAGAGTCGAAACATAGAATCGATTCATTGGGTCATTGAATCGGATCATTGATTCGAGTCGTTGAATCGAATCATAAACTCGAAAAAATCCTTTTCAATTCAAAATCGGCAAGTGAGCAAAGTATTGAATTTTGACTTTGTGGCAGCGCGGAGTTTCGGTAGCGAGAGAGCAAGTGCGAGAGAGAGAGAAGCACTCCAAAAATAGATTCCTATTCGTGTGAGTATTGTTTTGCAAAAATGAATATTCATGAAGTTCCTATTTACTGAAGTTCGCTATTCAACGATTGTTGATATCCGGTACCATTTGAATCTTTTGACTTTTTGATCTATATTTTTAATTTCCATCAGTATTTTCTTTTTTTATAAATTATAATAAAGTGTCAATATCTGATGATTTTTGTTCTTATTTACCTCTCTGTAAAATCATATTGGGTTGGGTCCTTAAAACAAAAAAAATTATAACTCCTATCAATTTTATATTCAATAAGAAATAAAGAAAAATCTTGAAGATGTCAGAACTGTAAGAAAAGTAGGCTTGCTACGATTTATCCCATTCCTATACAAAAATAAAAGGATCAAAATGCTGCCGGCCGTTCAGGAGAAGCTGAGCGATATCTTTATATGTAAGAATCATCCAGGAAATATTAGTCGCATCCCTTACAAACTGGTGGTAACCTTTCCGTTCCCACAGATCTTGAGGTGAGACAGCGCTGGGTACTCTGCTGCTTCACCTTCTTGGCTATCATCAATACCTACACCATGCGACTGTGTCTGGACTTTTCGCTGAACAGGATCGTCTTGGAGTGCGGTGGTTATAAGGTGGACCAGATCTCCAACGTACCACAAGTGCTTAACCCAAAGGCATTGCCCAACTGGCGTTTGGAACTGGCCATGAGACTAAATCAGACGGAACATCATTTAAGGAGCAGGTTGAAAGCAGGCAAGGAGCAGCAGAATCCGGAGCAGAATAAGGGATATAAGAAGCCACGGAAGAGCAGGGAGACTTTCACAAATAGTCCTGTGCATCAGGGCCCTCAAGAAAGGATCAGCTGCTCCGAGATGTGGTCTCGGCAAACCCAATCCATTGTGGTAATGGCCTTTTATGCCGGCTATATGATCACTCACATCCCGGGCGGACGACTGGCGGAGCGATATGGCGGAAAATGGGTCCTCGGATCGGCTATCCTTACGTCGGCGGTGCTGACACTTCTTACCCCCGCTGCAGTGCGTCGGGGAGGTCCGTATGTTCTAGTCGGCGTCCGTCTGCTGGTCGGCCTTTGTGAGGGTCCTTGCTTTCCTGCCGTCTGTGCTCTCCTTGCTCAATGGGTTCCAGAACAGGAGCGCGGATTGCTGGCCAGCTGCGTTCTTAGTGGCGGCGAGATCGGGATCACGATGGTCCAGTTAGTTAGCGGATTGGTTATGGCAGAGCAAGACTGGCCGGTCGTCTTCTACCTGGTTGGAGGAGGCGCTGTGGCCTGGTTCCTGGGATTTGTAAGTTTTTCACACCCGTTTTCCACCCTTTTACTGTTATTTGAATTTTTACACTCAGAAAATGCCACAGGTACGAAATGGGCTTTTTCTCATTTCATTCTTAATTTCAGAACATTTTCGTGCACGAATTCTTCTTAACGAAAATTTGAATTATAAAAGTACAATTGGGAATTTTAAAAATTTTATAAAGTTTGCTATAGAATGAAGGTTTTATTATTAAGTTCAATCAAGTACAAGTTGTTCTCAAATGAAAAATGATATATTCTTAAACCATCATTAAGCCTTTGTGTTGTTTTATTAGTTATCAATAGTTATTTCTGATAATCATCACTAAATAACTGATAAATAGAAAAAGATAAGTAGATAAAAATGTGTTTGTATACATTCGAAACATGTTTGCGGAAATCACTTACTTCTTCTAGGATACGATCCAGCATCCTCACGCACTGCAGGCAGATAACCAAAACACACAGAAGTTTAGTACAAAACGTATTTTAGTATATTATTCTTAGGTTTAGTAGCAATGGTAGTTGTCCTTGGTACTTTGTTCAGTTTATTAAAATATGCTTTAAGTAAAGTACATTTTTTGATGATTTGGGGCTTAAGAATGATTTTTTCTTGCCCAAAAAATACTATCCAATATCAAGTAAAAATTTTTAGTTTGCAGTTTTAGTAAGCTCTCGAAGTAAGAATTCTTTTCATACTTCAACATTAGAAAATTATATAATAAGAATATATGTTTTACCATAAAAATCATTTTTTAATAATTATTTTATGAGTTTTATTTATTTAGTTTATCATTACGGTCCCTGATTTTTCTTACCAACAGACCATCGTTTGCTATAGTACTCCGGATCACTGCCCATTTATCCAGAGCGAAGAGCGGGATTATATTAAGTGCAACACGAGCGCCTCCCTGCTGTTGACTAGCAGAGAAAGAGTATTTAGGGAACGGCCAGATGGAGAAGACGTTGACGAAGAGGAGTTCCGCAGAGAAGTAGAAGCTGCCGAGGTGGTTTCCTCCAGCGGAGCCCCTTGGAGGAGCATGCTCACCAGCACACCGCTATGGGCACTTGTTTGCGCCTCCATGCAGCAAGAATTTCAACAAAAATTGCCACAGGAGCTGCAAATTGTGCTGGACGAATTAAAGTCCCGTGGAACCAGTTTGTCGGATGAACTCTCCACCGCCATCGAGCTGATAGCACCATACGTAGGCAACTGGGTAGCTTCGTTAGCCACAGGACGCCTGAGCGATGTGCTAATTGAACAGGAGATCCTAACTCGCACGCAGACGCGCCGGCTCATGTCCTGGCTGGTCTTCATATGCGGATCCATGTATATGCTGCAGATCAAGGTAAACGGGGCACGGATCTGGAGCGTTCTAGCCATGGGCGCCTATTATGCGAGCATAAAGTTATTGCCGCTGGATATGAGTCCGAACTATGCCGGCACTTTGATGGGAATCTCGGGCGGAATGGGCGCCCTGCCCGCACTTTTGATGCCATGCCTAGAGCAACTGGAGGCGGATTACAGTCTGGTCAGCAGTGTGAGGGCCGCCGTGTGGGTAATCGGCGCCAGCTACATTTCCGGCGATGTACAAGAGTTTAACCTACCAGTACCTGAGCCACAATGAGGACACTTGCTTGTTATTAGTTTAATCTTACGCTTAAACATAAGTTACTGGTTTTTTCTTAGTGGATTCCTTAGGCAACAGATTCTAGATTACATATGTACCATAATACATGACAATTTCTATGCTATAGCTAGGAGCATAAACGTAAACAAGCTTTATATATATATAAATAACAGGTATGGTCGATATTAACTTAATTAGAGTAGGTCTGCTGGTGGTGGTCTGGCTAAATGCTCCGCTCTCGCTCTCCTAGTCCTCATAGGTTGATAATCTACACGACGCCTTGGGGCATCAGTCCGGATTGGGCCATGGCCGAGACAGAGTTCATGTCGATGCCCAGCTTCTTAGTAACGTTAATTTGGGCCACTGCCGCGTTCCGCAGAGAGTAGACATGCACCAGCTCCGCCTGGCTTTTGGCATAGAGCAGTGCCTTTTCGAAGAGTTCTACTGCCCGCTTAAGTTGCGCACGCTGCACTTCCACAGTTCCCAACGTTTCGTAGGCCAGCTCGCACTTGGGATCCACTTCGATAGCCTTGTTTAGCAATTGGACAGCCACCTCAATGTCTCCGCGCCACTGCAGCACCATGATGGCCTGGTGAACGATAAGAGCAGGATTTGTCGGCGCCAGCTTCATGGCTTTCTCGTAGTACTGCTGCGCCTGGGGAAATTGTTGCTGATCGGCCAAAACTTGGGCCATTAGGCTGTAGCACTCAACGCAGCTGGGGAACCGTTCAATGGCCTGCTCGAAGGTGTGCATCACGCCCTCCAAACGCCTCTGGTCGCCGGCCAGAAGCGACAGGCGGTACTCGGCATAGCACTTCTGGACGAGGGCGATGGCGTGGTTGGGCGCAAGGCGCACCGCCTTGTCGAACTCGGCCAAAGCGGGTTCAATCTGCTCCAGCAGTAGCAGAATCTGGGCGCGCTGGTGGTACACGTCCGGGTTTTCAGGATTCAGGCGTTCCGCCTCCTCAAAGTCGGCCAAACCCTTTTCGCGCTGATCGAGCTGGATGTAAAGAGCGGCTCTCTTTATGTAGGCGTATGCACGTAGATTGGGATCAGCATCAGCTGTGGTACAGTGAATGAAAAGGAAATAGTTTTAAAATATTTAGTTTTTAAGAATAATTTTAACAATTTTAACATTAAGGCCTAGTACTCAACCTAACAAAAGGTCGTCCAAAAGCAAAAACAAAATTTTGTGACGTATTTTTTATATAGTTTTTGGTTTTGGACGACTTTTTGGTGGGTGAATACTAGGCCTTACGTGCACAATCGGTCTTAGAAAGGAATGTAATCCAAAGGCTATTCTGAGATTTTATGAAGACTAAAAAATTAAACAACTACAGTACCTAATGTTGCACTCATTTTTAAATCTTATTCATGCCTTGAAAGATGTGGTCGGTTTTAGGCAAAAGAAAATGGTGACGTCATTCCACTAAAAAGTATTGGTTGTACTATTATTGGAATAGGAAATAAAAACCTACAAATCTTACATCTTAGACTTATAATTTAAAAAAAAAATTAAAGACGAAGCTAAAAGTTAACTATGTCTTTTTTCTACAAATAATAGGAACCATTGAAAAATAAAAATTGTCTTACCATTTGCCAAGATAGCATCGAAGTCCTGCTGGCTTTCTATGTAGGAGCCGCACAGGAGGTGGAAAGTTCCTCGCATGAGCAGAGCCTCAACTTTGTACTGTGGCTCGGCCTCAGAGGATTCGATCTCTTCGGTGCAGGCGGGAATGATGTCCTCGTACTTTTCCTCGAGGAAAGCGCGGTGGGCGCGCAGGAAACCCCTTGGTGGTGCGTCAGACTCGGATGCAGCCGGAAGATACATGGTCTGCAGGGGATCCGCGATGAAGGAACGCATGTAGGTGTTTACGAAGCAAGCCGATGGCACAACGGGCACTCGGTTGCGCATACCCTTCTCGGCGTCCACGCGTCCAGTCTCCTTAAGCACACGGTCCGCAAACATGATGGTCTGATTGTTCTGGAACATCTCCAGGATACAGGTAGCGGTAACATCGTCCAGGCACTCATTCATATCCTTGGTAGCCTCGTGGGCACGGGCGCGGCGATAGTAGGCCTTGGCGTAGCGCGGATTGAACTCCAGCGAGGCGGAGCAGTCCTCCTTAACCTTGGACCACTTCTTGAGCATCTCGTAGGATGCAGCGCGGTTCTGGTAGAAGATAGCCATGTCTGTGCGGTGCTCCTTGGGGCACTTGTCAATGGCCTTGTCGTAGAAGATGATGGCCTCGTCGTACTTTCCGTTCCTATAGCAGTTGTTGCCCTCCGTCTTGTAGTTGTTGGCCTCCTTGAGAGGCGACAGCTTCTCCCCCAGCTCGGCGGATTTCTTCTTGCGCTCCAGCTCCTTGTCGGGTGCGGTGCCGTCCAAGGAGATGGCCTGCTTCTCTATCTTGGCCTTCGGCCGCTTCTTTTCCCCGTCGACCTCCTTGGGCGCAGCCGTCCACCGTTTCACCGCATAGGTGCCCAGTCCGATGGCCAACGGAGTTCCCAGGATGAGTGCCAGCTGCCACTTGTTCAGCTTCACCGAGCCAATGTTCAGAGTCATCGCCATCGTGCCGGACTCCTTGCGGTTGTGTGTTTAGTGTGGACTGCAAGAAAAGAGTTTGGTCAGTGCCGGGATCGTCATAAATTGTGTAATACTCCGCTGGCTTATCGCTCGGCGCCTTTTGAGCTCGCTAAATGCCGGGCGGGGGGCACGTTTCTGCACCGCCTAACCCCAACCCCATTGATTTTTCACACCCCCATCCACCGGCCAGCTGACGCACTGCCTCCCGCGAACGGAACTTACACTTTTTGAAACTTAACACTGCTGCGAATTTGGCAAATACGAATCGTTGGTTGTCCTATTTTCAGTTAGAACTCGAGAAACTTAGATTCTATGATACATCAGCCTGCTGAGCACAAATGTGGAAATGTGGTGTGACCGTAATGGCCAGTGAGCCGTAAAGTGGATTTTGAAGGTATCGATCGCATGGTACCACATGTGTGGGCAGAACAATGGAGTTCAAATTAATAGCAACATTTGAATTATTCACTAGGTAACTGTATTAAAATGAATACTCTCATCCAATGACTGAAAATTTACATTTATTTAATTTGAGATTCTTTTTAGGAGACATTAAAGGGAATCCCTAAAACCAATTTTTTTATCTGGCCCTTATTATTGTCATTTTCATAATCGAAATATTGTTATTTAGGGTGTAATAAAAGTAAAAGAATCCACCTACTTAGCCATATTCCTTTACAATTTTAAAATCATATTTAATGATAGACATTTTAGCTCGCCATTCTGCATATACGCTATATTACTATCTGCTGCTGTTCTTAGGCACTGCTTACCAGCTGTTGGTTGCCAGTCACACAGAAACGAAAGCACCCTCAAAAATTCTTCCCCCAAAATAACGATTTAAAATTACAATCAATGTATTTAAAATTAATTCACTAGCATAGCAGGACAACCTAAGAACGGATCTCCTCCTCGGGGTTGGGGACAGGAGCGGGAGCCGCCGTAGTAGGCGATTTTTCGGTTCCGGTAAACGGTATCTTTTGCAGATTCTCCACCTTAACCAGGCCGTGGGAATCGGCGTAGTGCATGAGATCACAAATTGTGGGCGACTCCACGACCAGGATGTACTGGCACGTCTTTGGCTCTAACAGATACATGGACACAGCGGTGCCGCTGTTGGTCACAGGTGTGCAGGTCAGCTTCACATCGACCTCGCGAGGAAGTCCAGTGCGGTCGCAGTGGGTACCCTTTCCATAATGGTGCCAAATGGACGACGTGAAACCGGATCGACGGGCTCCCTTATCCGGGTTAGAGTTGGACCAAGCGCGATGATCTTCCTCCGAGAAATAACCCAGGAACAGCTCCACTTCGCTATTCTTGTCTTTATGGAACTGACGCACATGTCGCCCATAGCAGAACTCATACTTCCACCACCCATTGCCCTAAGAAAAATCGAATAATCAGTCATATAAATGGTTTAAATGATCTTCGTTCTTACCCCAGTTAGGCAATGCTTGCCCGAAATGAAGTCCTTGATGGGGGTCAGATCGGTAATGGGCGTGGGCCCTGTTCCAGAGGCTGCTCTTGAGAGCAGGAGCTGCTGGTAGTCGCTGTCCATCTCTAGGTCTCCATTACTGATAAGCTCCAGTATGACCTTGTCCATATCCCCGCTGTACTTAAAAGTGACCATGTCACCATCCGCCTTGGGCCACAGTTTTCCTGGAGCTTTGCCCTCCTTTTCCTTGGAAACCAGCAAATCCGCTTCAGATTCCGCCCATTCGTTCAGCTCCGACCGCAGCATGCTCAGTGGCCTGTGTGGCTCCGATTCGGAGTTGAAACATTGAATGGACAGCTCCTTGGACTCCTCGGCTTGAAAGCCACGGATTGTGCACAGCGTGGAGGAGAGGATAATGGCTTCGTAGTTGCAGGATGAGGTCTCCTTAAAAGAGTAAATGTCATCCTTGCCATGAGGGTAGCAAACATAGCGCACCATGGTGGTGCGTGGAGCGTCAATGATGTCGCACATTGTGCCATCACTGTATTCCATCTCGAAATAGGGATATCGTGTATTGTCGATCTTTAGGCTCTTGTATTTTGGCTTAACGCCCGCCTTAATGTCCGCCTCCCAGGCCTTGGTCAGCAGCTCCGTCTTGTCATCGGTCCACTTTCCCAGGTAGTACTCCTGGAACTTGACGTTCTTGCCCTCGCGCTCCTCGTGATACTGACGCACATGGTGGCCATGGCAGATTTCGTAGGACCAATAGGCTTCGATGCGGTACGTGCAGGTCAGGGCGGAGAAAATGGGCTGCAGCAGACTGATAGGAGCTGCGGATATTTTAAATGATATATAAATTATAAATTTACGAGGCGAATCTCCGAATGTCTTACACAACTCCGGTTTTTCGGACTTTTCCTCCTCCTTCTGGTGCTCCAAAGTGGGAATCAGACAGTCGTATTTCTCCTTGTCCGGTGTGTAGAAAGTTCGCAGCTGATTGCCCAAGTCCTAGTGGAAATATTAGTAAACCTTATGTATATATAATTCAAGTAATAGTTAATAGTTACTTACTGGCTGACCAATCAACTCCGGCACTTCAAAATCAATTTTGTACAAAATTGAATCGTCAAAATCCTTGGCTTCGTGGGACGCCGCTGAAATTATCAGACTAAGCAGCAATGCTATTTTCGTTATTATCACGTATGAGTTCTTCATTTTTGTGTTTTCTTCGCGATTCCTTTACATGAGTATTTTCGTGACAAACAAAAAAATATTTATAAATGCTACGTGTTGTTTTCCTAAAAAAGTAATGAACAGATGTTTTTTGTAACCGTGGAACTGCGAATGCTGATTGCAGAAGAAGAAGAGAAATTGATTTTCATGTGGGAATGTTGATTTTCTCTGAACTGATAACCGTTTTAACCGGTTAGCCGTTACAATTGTGTAATTCTCAAAAAATCATTTGCAATTGCATAAAACAAAGATACCATGTTATTAACATAGTAATATGTTATTTAGTTTATATGTTATTTAGATCATATATTTAATTTATTTATTTATATAAACTTAAATTAGAGCGCTACTAACAAGGGCTTTCGGCTAGTTTACGTTATTTTATATCGAGACAGCTTTTTTAAATGGTATGGGATAAATTACTTTTACAAAGGAAGGAGAGGATTTTGTTAATGTTGATGTTGGTTGGGTTTGCAATGGTGTTAATGGGGTTTTCAGAGTTAAACGTGTCTCTTTTGTGTTGGGATAGTGAGGGGCAGCTGAATATTATGTGGTTTGGGTTTGTCGCTGCTATTTACTTAGTAACCTAAACTTAAGATTAATTAAAGTTCAGTCCTTAAAAGTATATCATAATTATGTTGAAACAAATCTTCGATTAGCTCAGATGTTGCATATGGTATTTAGATTATATATTTTAACTTCATCCTGTATAACACTTACCAAAGTCTTTAATTTTTTTTTATTTAACAATATTTTTTAAAAGTAAGGTTGGATTTCCATCTGTGATGACCATAATAAATTTTGGTTTTAAAAAGGTTTCCGCAACAACCCCAACAAAAAATAAAATGCAGTTCCACGTTTATCTTCAACATTTTTATATTTTCTTTAACAAATATCGCCTATAGAATTCAGTTCCCTATCTCATGCCCCTCGCCGCTTCCGTTTTCCCCGCGGACCAGCCCGGCTCCTTGTCCTGGTCTTGATCCAGTGGCACCTTGTCGATGGCATCTAGGATGAACTTAATGGAGTGCGCCGTCTGTGGCAGCCACTCCATGATGCGGGAGGTGGTCGAGACTGGCGGCGTCGATGAATCGCCATCGTCCACAAAATCGGCATCGCCGCCGGACAGAGAACGAACACCTCCCAGATAGTCCGTGTAGTCGTAGTCACTGGTCAGCGGATTCACCTTGGAGTAGTAAATGGCGGCGAACGTCGAGTAGATAATCAGCAGTGCAGTGCCCACCTGCGGATGAGGAATTAATCGGAATTAGATTATTAAAATATGGATTTTCTATAAAAATCAATCTATTGATATTGGTATTAAATCTGAGCGCGTGGACCATGCATGTCATAAAGCCCACAGGATCTCTGACTTTAACGTAATTTTCTTTAATGGTTGGACTTATGGCACTTATGAAAGTGTCATAGCACCCGCAAATTAGAGATTTATAATACTATATTAATTATTATCAATACAATATAATAAGTTGAAGTCTTGTTTGGTTAAGAGTGCAACAAAAACTTTGACTTCTCTCATAAAATCTTATTAAAAAACATGACTAAAAACCTTGATATTAAAAAACTTTCCAATTCTTTCTAATTATAAATTCCTGTTTTATTTTCTATCATAAAATATAGCCTAACAGCCTTTTCGAAAAGATATTTTGAATTTGGGGAATATAATTGTATCAACTTTTTTAGCTAAGTATTTCCTCTTCATTTGTATTTCCGGTTCGGAAAAGTCATAATTAAGTGCTGGTCTATTGAAAGAAATTAACGTCTGTATCTAAAATGTTAGGTAAAACATGTTCTTCATAGTTTAAAAAGTTCCTTTCCACTGAAATCGGCTAAAAGATCCTATTTCAAAGAACATACGAATTTTCCTTTTCATCATTGTCACAAGATTTATATTGCTATAAATACTATATAGCGTGATTATTCACTCACCTGAAAGACGGCCCAGAACTTGTAGGATCCCTCTGTGATGACGAAATCGTAGTAACCCTTGAGGGGATCGCCCTTGATATAGCGACCCTCGCCCACATCCGTATCAGCTTTCTCCTCCGCCTCGGCATCGCGTCTATGTCGAAGTCCGCGCACAGATCTCAGGTTGCCCTTCTCCCCTTTGAGAGCGGCCACTTTAGTGGATGGAGCCGATGGCGTTACAGTCTCAACTTTCTCCATCTTCTTCGGTGGCTGCTTCTCCTTCTCTTCCTCCTCCTCCTCCTCCTCAGAGCTATCTGGAGCAGCTGTCGTCGTGGACGTGGTTGTTGACTTGGTTGTCGTTGTGGTTGGCTTCTTGTTCTGGTTCTTTTTGTTTCCCTCCATACGTGGAGGCTTCTTGGAGTTAATCCTGGTTTTCTGCTGTTGCTGGCGCAGCCGATCCTTCTCGGCCTGCTTCGCCGCCTGCTCCTGGCGGAACTTCTCGGTGCTCTGCTGGTGGCGTTCGCTCACCGCGTTCCAGGCACCCATTAAAGCCTGGTACAGATCCCAGATCTGTTTGAGACTCTTCAGCACGGTGACCAGGGTGGACTCGCTCTGTACTTGGACCACTGCATTATCGGGGGCGGGTTGAGATTGCTTGGCCAACTCAGTCTCCGGATGAGGTCGCGGCTGGAAGCCCATGGGATAATCGTACACCTCATCGTAGGCGGGATAAGGGGATCTGCAAGCAATGGAAAAATAATGCTGCATTTAGGGATTCGATTTTTAATTTTCTACAATATATGTATGGTTGATGATTTCATATTAAAGTAATCTGTACTTTGCAAGTTGTTTACCATATTGTGAAATTGTGTCAGATTAATATACCAAACAAATCTTTTTATAAAATATACATATTTATTGGATTCAAAATGATATATACAAATACTGTTCGGCCTGTAGTTAATCTTCGAATTGCGTCTTTGGACTTAATTCTGTATAATATGGTTTATATGCTATGTATTGAAATTTATTTGATATGACATATCAGCAATCTTCTCGTTTCTTTGCAAGCAATACGTTTTCCTCATAAATATCTCTTTTCCACTCATAATGAGAGTTTAGGAAATGATTAACCCTATATTAATACCCTAGCGTTTCAGGATACCGACATTAAAGTATATTTAGGTAGTAAAGTTTGTTCACCTATTAGGACCTGCCTGGAGCTTCCTATTATTGCCTTCAGCTGCAGGATGAGTAGCTACTGGAGCTGGCTTCTGTCCCTGTGACCAGGGGGCGTAGAATGAGTCGTAGGGACGTGCCTGCGACGCCCTGCCCTCATCTGGAGTCGCCGAGGAGTCGTCCTTATCATAAAAGTGTTCCTCCTCCGCCGAGTCCTGTCTGGACTCGGGATACGGATAGCGTCCCGGCCCGTAGTCATCGGCAACGTCGTAGTAAGGATCCTGGTCGTAGGAGTCCTCCCTGCTCTGGGGTGGACCGTAGGCATCCTGACGTTGTCCCATCACGGGATCCATGCTCTGCGCATTCACCACCACCGCCTGCTGCTCCTCGTAGAAGTTTCTACCCTGCTCCGGTTTATTTGGATTGGGATTAGTTGCATTTCCGGCCTCCCTGGCAATGCGTTCCACGGTGGCGATTTCCGTATCATTTCCGGCGCCGTCTTTGAAGTGATTCCACATGCGTGTAAGAATCAGGAGATCGCTTTCTCCACCGGAGTTACTCTGCGCCCGTCCAGCTTCGATCATTGCCACGGCCGTCAGAGCGGTGGCAAATAGAAGTAGGGTGAGTACCAGAAACCACATGGGTGAAAGACGCCGTGGCGTCTTCGCCGACATTTCCTCGTAGGCTGACATTATCCGCGTGGCACTTGAATACACTTGTTCCGAATCCTCGTTTTTCTAGCACAAACCGCACGGCCAGTTGGCTCGGAGTTTAATCGACAACTAACCGAAGAGTCCCAAGTGCTGCTCCAGAAAAACTCCGCCTTGCGATGGTGCTAATGGCGGGTTTTGGGTATCTAGAACATCTATCCGTAGTAGCTCGTTGAAAGGTGCTAATCCGTGGGCCGCGTGCATCATCGTTATTGGGCCAGTGCTCCAGTTTCGATTTAACGGTTCATCCGCCGCCGAGTGCCGCAGCAATTAGCACCATCCATCCCCATGTATCCAGTACTCCTATACGGACACCGATCCATCTCCATTCATTTATGCATAATCCCTGACTTTGTTGTTTGCCACAAATTCGTTTTTTTTCGCGGTGAAAGTGTGCAATATGATTCTCTTCTCAGAAGATCGAATCTCGGGCTGAGGAATTTAGGAAGTCGTAATTGGTCGCATTTACTCTGGGTCTCTGCTTGTGGATCTGTGTATACTTTGTGGGGGGACCTCCATCGAGGTCCATAATCTGTCGTGTGCCAGGCGTAACTCACGATCTAGGAAAAGCTTACATACATATTTATCTATAGATCGTGGCGAGCGTGCGACTTTCATTATGGGCTTAGAAAGAAATCTATTTCTACTATCAAGATACATATATTGCAACAACAATGGGGTATTTACAGACCGGTGACATCCCGCAATTGGCTGTAAGAGAAGTCACATGATCAAACAAATTTAGGAATTTAAACTGAAATTATAATCCAACATGATCATATGTGCTGTCCACAAAATCATCATCGAAACGCTGTTCCGTATTAGAAGATGACCCACAGAATATATGTAGTAACTTCCATTTAAGACATTACTTTTAAGTCATTGTTAGAGTGGCATCGCCAAAATCATCATTTTAAATCTTAACACTCTAGCTTTTGTAGTTTCCAATATCCCGACGTTCAAATAGACGTACAGACATACGGACATGGCCAGATCGACTCGCCTAGTGATCCTGATCAAGCACATATGTATTTACTTAATTCTACAAGTAACGGGTATAAAAACACAGAAGCCAAGCTCATGGCAAAAAAGTTTTCTTACATAAGATATTAGAGGTTTATTATAACTCATTCCAACTTAAATTTTTATTACCAACTTGGATTAAACACAATATTTAGTCGGTAATAATAACAAACATTATTTTCAATGCTCATAATATCGCTAAAAACTTAAGAACTTAATAGCGTTTCACTACAATATCATTTTACAATACATTTTAATCTCCCAAGATTACAGATACCATACAATTTTTACAAGACGCCTTTTAACACATCAAAATGAATGCATCGTTCCATATTTTCTACCCATTTCTAGATTTTTCTGAATCACTAGTGCGTCATTTGTTTACCGGCACCGTTGGCAAACTAGTTTTTTTACCCCCAAAATTGTTTACATTATGGTTTGGACCTCTCACTTGTTTTCCTCTAAAAAGCTGTGGCGGCAAAGCTTATTTGTGTTTGTTGTTTTGTTTGAAACCTCCGCGATAGCGCTTATCGCTCGATTTTGTTTTATTATACCTGTGACTCGTAGAGTAAAAGGGTGTGTTGTATTCGGGGATAAAGTATGTAACAGGTAGACCCTATAAGGTATATATGTATTGTAACTACATATATTCTGTTTGTCTACGCAATCTAGTCTCTCAGTTTTAAGGCTATTGGATGAAAATTTACCACAAATTGTATTTTTGTTGCAGGATGTACATACATATATGTACATATAAAACGGAACGAGCCGGACCGGACAATTATACCACAGACCAATATAATGTCTTTGATCATACCCCACAGCTCCTATACGAAAAAAATTTAAATAAATCTAGCTTCGCTGTTTTTGATCATGGTATCTTCCACTCTGGAGCACTGATCCTTTTTTACAATTTCAGGATTTCGAATAAAGTAGATAGTTTCTTAATCGGACGACTATCGTATATCAAAAAAGCTGCCGTAGAAACGAATTAAAAATTAATGATAAAATAATCACAAATAAATTCTAGTTTCGGTATCTGTTAATGATGAAGAATAAAAACGTTTTATTTCCCGGTTTTGAGTGGACTGTATTTCAATGATTAAATTTGTCACATTTTCTTGTGTGTCCGATGCTTTCCGTTGTAGTCTTAACACTAAGTCCTAAAAAATCTCTAAAGTGTGACGCAGCACCAAAATACATTAAAAGGGCAAAAGTTAGTATTTCATATACCAAAGAGAATAAGATTCAAAATTAAATAACGGCTGCAATGCGTTCATCAACATCCCGGGCCGCCCTGAAACAATGTTTCAGAATTAGGCAGTACTGCTAACTTGGTGATGGGCCGGGTCATCTCTCCAGTAGACGTCTTAAGTTTTACAGCGCGTACAAGTCCATCTGGTCCAGGATGAGCTTCCACTACACGGGCTAGTATCCAAGCTGCTGGAGGGAGATTTGAGTCCTTGACGAGGACTACATTATCTACTGCGATGTTGCGTTCCTTGCTGCTCCACTTTTGACGTTGCTGTAGGGATGTCAAATACTCTTGATGCCAGCGTTTCCAAAACCCTTGAAACATCGATTGCAAGTGCTGCCAATAGTCCAGACGATTGATCGGCAAATGAGTAAGATCTCCCTGTGGAACAGTTGTGAATGGGCGTCCAATTAAAAAGTGGGCCGGAGACAAGTAGGTGAGGTCAGTGTCAGGTGTGTAGCATAGCGGTCGCGAGTTTACTACTGCACTGATCTGAGCAATCAGAGTTTGCATTTGTTCACAGGTTAGAACAGTTTTTCCTACAACTCGACGCAGATGTAGTTTGACGGAACGTACTGATGACTCCCACTTCCCTCCCCAATGTGGCGAATGGGGAGGTATAAAACTCCATTTGATTCCATCATTGGCCAGCGATTGTGTTAGATTGCGTTGATGCTCCTGCGAAGATAGAAGTTGCTGCATCTCATCTAATGCCCGTTTGGCACCAACAAAATTCGTCCCTTTGTCGCTGAAGATTTGTGAGCATTTTCCTCGAAGGGACATGAAACGCCTAAGACATGCCAGGAATGTGTCTGTGCTGAGATCGGTTGCCAGTTCCAAATGTATGGCGGATGTCACAAGGCAAACAAAGAGGCATATGTAGCCCTTAGTTTTTCGGGGATTGCGCCCTCTCCTTTCCTTAAGTATAAATGGTCCAGCGTAATCGCAGCCTGAGTGCTGGAAGGGTAAAGCTTCTGTTATACGGATGCCTGGTAGATCGGCCATGAATTGGTGCTCCGTGAGTTTACGTTGGCGAAAACATTTGATGCAGTTGTGAACCAGATTTCTTATCAGGTTGCGCGCACCAAAGATCCAGTACCTTTGACGAACAATTACAAAAAGTGCAGAAACTCCTGGATGAAGATTTGTCGTATGCTCGTGTTCCAAAATCATTCTTGTGATGCGGTTCGACTTGGGAAGCAGTATAGGGTGTTTTACATCAGCTGGTAACTGTGAGTTGTCCAGTCGTCCACCAACTCGGAGAAGACCATTTTTGCAGATAATCGGCGAAAGTTTCACCAACTGGGAGCGGGTGTGAAGTGGCTTGTTTTCCGTCAGTAGTTTGCGGTCTTCCATGAAACATTTCTGAGCCTCTTGCAGGCAAAGAATGCGAGCAGCCTGAATCTCCTCAAAGGTGAGCATATTTCCATTTGCCAGCGTTGCAGATTTAATGGCCTTGATCTTTTGGATGAAGCGTAAGACGTAAGCTACAATGCGTACCAGCTTTGTCCAGGACGAGACGCGTTGAGTCAAAGCTTCGATTGGAGACAATGAGCAGGTTTCCTGTGCGGTTAATGCGGTGGTCTTCACTTCCTCTTTTCCATGGTTTTCTAAAAGGGAAGAACAGAACTTTTTAGAGGTCATCTTTACCGCAAGCATTTCTGGATCTTGCAGCCATGAAGGTCCCATCCACCATAAGTCGAAATGGAGCAGGTCCGAAGCAACCATTCCTCGTGTGGCGCAGTCCGCCGGATTCTCCTTTGTGTTTACATGATGCCATGCGTTGCGCGGTAAGGCTTCGAGTATTTCTGAGGTTCTGTTGGCTACAAATGTTTTAAGCTTAGATGGTGGATGTGAAAGCCAGGCCAAGACTATGGTTGAGTCGCACCATGCATGCACTTCAATGTCCTTGTGTTGTAGCGCAGCCTTGACTGATAAGAACAGTCGACTCAGTAGCAAAGCGCCACACAGCTCAAGACGCGGTAGAGACTGCTGCTTCAGCGGAGCAACTCTGGTTTTTCCCGCTATGAGTGAAACAGATACGGTGCCATCTGATCGCACCACTCTGCTATAGATGACTGCGGAATATGCCTTGATGGATGCATCTGAAAATCCATGCAGTTCGATGTGATCTTCATTGTTTTGAACAAACCGTGGCAGGCGTAGGTCGCGAAGGATGTGTAGGTCGTTACGGCATTTATTCCACCAGTCCGCAATTTTTGGAGGAAGCTCCGTGTCCCAGCCGAGATCGAGCAGCCACAATTCTTGGAACAGAATTTTGAACTGCACTACCACTGGCGACAGAATACCCAGCGGGTCAAAAATGCGTGCAACATCTGACAGCACTTGGCGTTTGGTGTTGTGCGGATTTGTTGTGAGGCAAACTTTGTAGGATAACATATCCTCTTCTGGATCCCAATGAATGCCAAGAACTTTTGCTGTAGAATTGGATCCTTTGCCTTGTATTTCGGTTGAAGCGAGAGACCTGTCGGCGACACGTGATGAATTGGAAACCCATTTACCAAGTTCCATGCCTGCACATTTCATCAACTGGATCAACTCATTTTGATTGCGAATGAGCTCCTCCTCGGTATGTGCTCCGGTCAGTACGTCGTCCACATAAAACTGCTCCTTCAAGATCCTTGCAGCTGCAGGAAAGTCGTGTTGATGGTCGTGGGCTAACTGATCCAGGACCCTCACTGCTAAAAATGGTGCGCAGGATGTGCCGTATGTTACCGTGGATAGTTCATAGTGTTTAATAGGAGTCGTTTCGTCTTCTCTCCAAACAATTCTCTGATAGCCACAATGGTTGGCAGCCACCCAGATTTGTCTATACATTTTGACGATGTCTGCTGAGAAGACAAACTTGAACATTCTGAAACGCATGCAAATCGAGAAAAGGTTTCGTAAAATGCTGGGTCCAATGTGCAGAGCTTCGTTTAAGGACCGTCCATTCGTGTCCTTGAATGAGCCGTCAAATACGACGCGTAGTTTTTGAGTAATTACAGGATGATGTGGCAAGTAAAAGCTCGGCTTTTTGTCAATGTCTTCTGGCGATAGTTCTCGCATGTGGCCCAACTGAAGATACTCACGCATAAATTGCACGTACTGTGAATGCAGTTTGGGGTCTTTCTTTAGGCGGCGCTCTACACCCCTGAATCTTGTTAGCGCTCCCTGTAAAGTATCCGAAAACTGTTCCATGGAGGTTTTGAACGGAAGTTCGACGATGTAACGCCCCTTAGAGTCCCGAGTGTGCGTCGTCACAAAGTGCTGCTCAACTTCATCGTCCTCCGGTTTCCCATGGAATTCCTGGTTGACATCCTCCAGCTCCCAAAAGCGTCTTAGCGAAGCGTCAATGTCAATAGCCGTGTGCATTGTTGTTGTAGATGAACATCCGGTAGTAACTATAGATGTGATGACCCATCCAAATATGGTCGAAATGGCGATGACGTTGCCCTGGTTGTCGAACATCTTTTGACCAGTGAACACGGTCCAAACGTAGTCGCTGCCCAGGAGTATATCAACTGGCGCCAACGATTGATAGTCAGAATCCGCAAGCTCAAAGCCAGCGAATGCCTTGAGTGCTGAGGCGGCGATATCGTGTCTTGCCAACGTGGAGGTAATTTTGCTGAGTACGTGAGCACGCACCTTCATTGTGTGATCAGAGATCCTTGACTGCAATTCCAGTGTGCTGCAGCCTCTAGTTGTCTCAGCCTTGATTGACGAGATTCCGGTCACCCAAATTCGTGACGGTGAGCGTGCCAGTCCGAGCGCCTGTACGCACCGCTCGGAGATGTACGACAGTTCCGAGCCACTGTCCAAAAGCACCCGACAGGTAGTGTGCGATCCTGTTGCGTTTCTTACAAACACTAGAGCTGTTGGCAATGCACTTTTTCGTAGCCCTTGTGGCTGTGTTGCGGTTGTTGATCCGTTGCAGAAGGATTCAGCTGTGGGAGCCACTTGTGCCCGTGCGATATGGCTGATGGTGACGGTAGCATCTTCAGGAGCGCTTGGGATGTGTTTTTCATCATCTCGTGAGTGTGTCGCAGCGACAGCGGCTTGCGAACCAAGAATATCTGCATGTAGCAGAGAGTGGTGACGATTGTGGCAAAACTTGCATGTGAATTTGGATTCACACTTTCGCGACACATGCCCAGGCTTAAGGCAGTTAAAACACAGTGATTTTGCCTTGACAAATGTGCGTCTCTGCTCGATTGACAATTCACCAAACTTTGAGCAGGCGTAGATCTTGTGCTCCTTCGAGTTACACTTCACACAAGTGTTTGCTTCCATCGATACTAAAGCGTGTGACGATCGCTTTGCCTTGCCATGTTGTGGGCCAACCTTGGAGTCTATGTCTGACTCACTTTTGCTGAGCTCGAATTCCTCGCAACGTCGGTCTAAAAACTTGAGTAGATCATCCACAGACGGAGATTCCAGTTCCCGGCTTCCTTCGATCCATTTGCGACGGGTTTCCGCGTCGATCTTGGCTAGGATGAAGTGTATAATCCAGCAGTCCCTATTAGTTTGCCCTGCTGCATCCAGGCCGCGTACAATTTCGGTGGCTCCGTCCGTCACCTTTCGCAGAACCGTTACATCTGCTCTGGCGGTCGAAGGTAAGTTAACAAATGTCTCCAGCAGAGTGTTAACAATGTGACGTGGTCTATTGTACCGATCAATTAGGCAAGTCCAAGCAGCCTCGTAAGCTGCATCCGTTATTGGCATATGTCGTATCAAGTCAGCTGCTTCGCCAGTGATGTACGTTTTCAAGTAGTGCAACTTTTGTATTGCTGTCAAATGCTGCTTGCTATGGATCGTACTCTCGAAGATGTTTTTAAAGGCTGGCCACTCCTTGTAGTCGCCAGTGAACAGCTTGATGTGGATTTTTGGCAGTTCATTATGCATTACATTTGCTGCCGAGTTTGCCCTTAAAAGCGTTGCTTGTTGCTCAGCCAAACGCTCGTTGAGCTGCTGCTGTTGTTCCAAAAAACGAACTAGGTTTTCGTTTCCCACTCCTGATGCCATTGATGCGGCCTCATCAGGGTTGCCAGATTGTCTGAAGTTATTGCCTTCTCTTTCATTCTCTTGAGATTCTTCACAGGTGCGTATGAGGTTGCGAAATAATGTGCTCGCTTGTAAGTACTTGTCCTCGTACCTTTCGTTGTCGATGGCTGGATCGACGTACCCTTCCTCTTCGTCAAAAATGACCAGTTGGTCGCTGATGGACTCGAATTCTTTCCAGACGATGTTGAGCCTTTCCAATGAAACTTGTATTTCATCAAGCTCCCATTTTGATCCCGCACGTGGATCTTGAGACGCCGTTAGCAAACGCGTAATGCTTGCCTTCGCACGGCTTCTAGCTGCCTTCAAAAGTTTAAACTGATCCATGTTAATCAGTAACTAAATTTGGCTAGAAGGACCAAAGATATGATGAAGAATAAAAACGTTTTATTTCCCGGTTTTGAGTGGACTGTATTTCAATGATTAAATTTGTCACATTTTCTTGTGTGTCCGATGCTTTCCGTTGTAGTCTTAACACTAAGTCCTAAAAAATCTCTAAAGTGTGACGCAGCACCAAAATACATTAAAAGGGCAAAAGTTAGTATTTCATATACCAAAGAGAATAAGATTCAAAATTAAATAACGGCTGCAATGCGTTCATCAACAGTTAAAACGTTTGATTTTTATGGTTTGAGCTGCAAGTTCATGTGCTATTTATCCACCAGCTTGCCTAAGTTAGCTTCTTTCATTCCTGCAGTACCAGCCATAAGTAATTCCTTAGAAATTCACCAAAATATGTTCAATGTTGTTAATGATTCATGCATTTTCATTTTCAGTTATTGATGGGCATATCCAGGGCTGACATGCATAAAGAATTCTTAAACTTTAAACCGACATGACATTGACAAAAATTGGGTTTTGTCATCAACATTTTATCGACTTGCTATCGAACTTTAATCAACTTTTTTTTCGAAAAGAGATAATTAGAGAGTCGGATTTGAAACGATTGTCGAATAAGAGAGTGGCTCGGCCAAAGTCGAGGTCGGCACATTGATGATACGTTCATGTCAATGGCCTATTGACCCTACAAGCAAAAGATCGATATTTCTATCGCCTGTCGTCCAGAAGTCACTTTTTACACACACGATAGAACACATTTTACAAAAACAAATATACATATATCGCGTAAAAGTCACTTCTAGACGATAGTAAACATTTTACAAAAACATAAATGGTCGGGATCGCGAAGAAGAAACTTCTGAGACACTTCTGTACGATAGAAAGATGACAGAATTTTTTTTTGTTGTTTTTTACTCCTAGAAAACATTTCCCTCCTTAGTCCTATACATTTTATTCGCTTTTGAAGTTGAAAAAAATCGAATATTAATGGGATCCACTGTAGAAAATTCTTGCAGGGTATACAAATGTATGTAGCGTAAAAACGGCTTTCAAAATCTGTAAAAAAAGGAACATGAATATAAATCACGAAATTTTAACTAATAGGAAAGTATAGATTCAATACGTATGTATGTATGACTAATAGCAAATATAAATTGAAACAGGCAGACGCATCATGAAATTCGATTATCCCAATATTTGTCACTTGATTATTAATATTCAGCATATGTGTACAGCTTATATATACATACATATGTAAAAAAAACCACCTGATCGAGCGTATGTTTTATTGTTTACCAAATAAACAACAAATATCAACAACGCAATTTAAAAAGCCGGCAAATGGCGCAAAGAGAGCGAAACAGAGAGGCAGAATTCCATTAGGGTGGACCTTTCTGGAAGTTTGTTGGATCTATTTATGTTTAGTTTGTATGTATGCATGTTTGTGTGTGCGCGGTAAATAACATGGCTTTTGTAAGTTTTCCACATGTAACGTGAAAATAAAACTTATTCAACGTTGGGAAAGCCTATACAAAGCTGATCAATATGCACAAGTGCACCCACGCACGCTAATTAAACCGGAAGATATGTTGGGTGTGCGCAAGTTTATTTACCTGTGTAAATTGTGAACTTTCAATGGAAGGTCGGGAATGTTTCCGCTTGAAAACTAAATGTCAAGCTGAGAATATGTACTTGTTCGATTTTTATTTTTTTTTTTGCGATATTGTCGATCGCTCTAAACAAAGAAAACACTCCGCTGCAATTGCATTGGCGATAATCGAGGAGCTGAGTGCAAATGAGTTCAACTAAAAGGCTATAAATATGCACGCCAGCACACCGACGTCGTTGGAAAGCAATCTCGCTTGGAAATGCGCTGTAAAAATAAAAACACACATAACATTCAGTTTTGGTTTTCTCTTTATTTTATAAGTAATACCTAAATCAAACTTCATAATTTGAAACGCACTAAGGCTTAGCAACTAAAACGTGTAAGTCTGAATTAGTTTAGGAATTTGTTAGAAGCTAAGAGTAATATCTGCTTTTTTTGTGTTTGTGAAATTATAAGCGAAATAAAATTATTATAAAGTTCACAAAGTTTTGCGCCGCATGAAAACCCGATGCACAAATACAAATGCAAAGCGTGTTTCCAGGTGGCTTTTGTTGTTCTCTCTCTCTTCTCTCCTCTTTTCCTTTTACTTCCAGCTCGACTCGATTGCTGTGGCTGTGATTTCCTTTTTTCCTTTAAATTCGAAGATTTCTTTTCTCTCGCTCTCTCCTTTCCCCGTTACTTCTTGCACTCCCGCTGCACAGACGGCTCCCCCGCCCCCGGCGATGCCCTGCATCAGTTCTTGCAGGCGGCGGCCTTCTTGTTGTTGTTGGTGTTCATCAGCTTGGTGAGAATCTTGCGGGAATGGCCAGAGGGGTCGAAGTGGTTGGTGTGCTCGGTGGCCTCCTTCTTGGAGCGCTGTTTGCCGCTGTGGCCGGAGAAAATGTGCTTGTCATGGTCGAAGTTGTAGTGCTCGTACTCATCATCAAAGTGCGCCTTGGACATAGTGGCGATTTGGAGTTGCGAAACTAACTGCGTTCTTGCTTTTTCTCTATGTACTTTTCTGCTCTGCAAACTCGCAGACTGGCTTTTCACTAAACGGCTGCTTTCTCTGTTTTCCACTTTTCGCTGCGTTGCGAACGGAATTGAATTTTTTTCGGCCGAGCAGCGGCTTTTTATAGGCAACAGAGCTTTTTCCCCTCCTCCAAAAGCTCTCTCTCCGTCAGAGTTGCCAGATTTTGCTTTTAACAGTACTTGATTGGAATAAAACTGCTCAAAAGTCGAATTTTCTCGAACATTTTAATTATTTCTAACCTTTTTAGTTATTCTTTACCTTTAGGATGCATTACTTTTAAAATATAGGCATTTTAAACAGCTAAAACGTATTTCTCTTGCCCTGACAACCCTTTTCCTCTCTCAACCAGAGAGAGTCCCGCTTTTAAACCATTTTTGCTGCGCAATTTAATTTTTTGTTATTTACAAAGTGCGCGGTAAACAAAATAAAAACACACATCGCCAAACATATTATTTTACCTTGTCCATTTATTTTAATTATTAAAGAACTTTTCACAATATACACGTCTCAAAAGTCTTATATAACACCCGCCCACCTTGGCCCCCAACATATGAACACTCAAACGACCCCCAAAGTGCATTTACCCAGCATTTATTTCTCCACATTATAAATATAGAATTAAATGCAACACGAGTTCTGGATGATCGGCCACTACACTGCTCTGAATTTCTCCTTTTTTAATAGAAATCAAATATTTTAGGTGATGACTTCTGGAAACTTCTTATAAATCGATGGCAAATTTTCAATAAATTAAAAATAGTGAAACCCACAATAAAATGTATTCAAGTGTCACCATTAATATGTACATTTTTATTTGGGTGCACTAGAACCTGATCGGCTGACCCAGTTCCCTCCCACCTGTATCGCATTTGTTTATTTCTAAAAAGCGAAAAGCTTTCAGTTTGTTTTGGTTTAGTGGGTTTTATATAAAAAGAAAAACAGATGTTATGCAGCGTTCTGGCAGTGATAAGGTGCTAACTATCGTTTTTGTTAGTCATTTGGGAGGTATTCGATCCGAAATTTACTCTGGAAACGACGCAATAGATTGTAATCACATTCTGAGATAAGATAGAAATAGGACGGCCTTAACAATGTTGTTTAAGAACCTTCCACAATATATCACAACTTTGTTTACGATTCATTGGTTGGAAATCATTTATGAATGTTCTTGAAGATTTTTCTTTTAGCTTCAAGGAAAACTGACCATTATAAATACGCTTTGGTCGTATCGTAACGGACTATTTTAAAGACCTTCCATTCAATATGTGATACTATTAAATTGTATACCGGTTTCTTTTATGATCCGTTTTCTGTAATCTTGTTTGCCAAGTTTATAGATTGCTTCTTCCGCTATCATAAAATGTTCCACTTGTAAGTTTTTACTCTTTTGGTAGCCAGCATACACGATTCTGATAGATTCTTTTTCGGTTTTCAAAAATTTGTTTCTTTAAAGATTTCAGAGAAACCTTTTATTTTATTCCTATTTAACAGTCTCCTTGGGTAGTAGAGTTTTCAGTCGCTTATCAGGATTCGTATCCCTTTTTGTCTTGCTCTTAACTTCCTTGGGTTTCTTGTTGGGCGCCGAATAAGTCTCTATCACGGGTAAATCGAAGTCATCGGGAAAGGAACTGTCCACCGTCTCCGAGAGCTCCAACTGCACCGCCTTCTCCGTGTGAACCCGCTGAACGTGCTCCTTCATTTTGTCCGAACGATGACTACTAAATCGACACAGCTGGCATTTGTACCTATTCGGACCGTTCTCGGTGTGCTTTAATGCATGTCGCTTGAGGTTCTTGCTTTGGCTGAACTTGCAGCCGCAGATCTCGCAGATGAAATCCCTTCCCTGTTTGTGGGTTTCAATGTGCAGCTTGAGGTTTTCCTTACGATTGGCTCGATGCTTACAGCCCGAAACAGTGCAGGCGAAGAACTCTCCGGTGTGGAGGAGTTTGTGGGACTTGAGGGCCTTCATGTGGGTGGTGCTGTAGCCGCAGACGTCGCAGAGCATCTGCTTCTCGGGATTGTGGATCAGAATGTGGTTGCTCAGTCCCTGTTTCCACTTGAAACCCTTGCCGCAATGAGGACAGATGTGAGGTGTTTCCGTGGAGTGCTTGGGCTGGTGGACGAGCAGGGCAGCTCTAGTGGTGAAGCGTATGCCGCACTGCAGACAAAAGAAGGGCTTGCGTAGGTCACCGGAGTGCCTGCGAAGATGTGTGTCATATTCTCGCCATTCTAGGAAGCCCACCTCGCAAAGGGAGCAGGTCAAGTGAGAGGGTTCACAGCTGCCCATGTGCTCGATCATCTTCTGCACCTGGTAGCACTTGTAGTCGCAGCCAATACAGTAGTTCACCTTGCTGCTGGACTTTACGGCCCTCGGGTTCTTTAACTACAAGGCAAAGATGATAGTGACACATATAAAATAATATAGAATAGAGGACTCCCACCTTAAAGTAACTCTGTCGGTTCTCGAACACATCCTCCGCTTTTGTAGCTGGCTCTGGATTTAGTTCCCCCTCTCCAGGGGTCGTATCTTCTGATGTTTCCTTCACCTCGCCCAAGGGCTGCAACTGGTAGAGGTTCAGCAGTTCAGTGACAGCTAGGATTTGCGCCAACTGCCGAAAGTGTGGCTCATGTTCCTTGGAAACAGACATGATGTCCTCGTAGAAAAAATCCACAATTGTATGCAGGCACTGCGAGCAGCTGAAATCTTGGATGGTGATCTTCAGGGGATTGTGGATGGAGAACTGCTGCTGCTTCTGGTTGGTGTTTATCAACTGGCTCTGGGCGGCCAGCACGCAGAAATGGACACTCAGGCTCAGGGTATCATCCGAATCCAGTTCCAGGAGCAGGTCACAGAACTGTCCGGTTCTCCGCTGGTTGTTTAGGTAGTTCGACACCTTGGAGTGCAGCGGCTGGTGAAGAGTGGGTATAGTTTGCATCGCCTGTGAGTGCAGCATTTCTCGTGCTTGATAAAACCGAGATCAAAACAAAATAATCAAATACTTTGAGGTAGGACGCCAAAACAGCTGTTACAAAGTAGGACCAGCCTGAGGTTCGCGGAATATACTGACTACCAAATACTGACTAGTATTTTTGTCCGTTAGTTTTAAAACGAAAATGTTGATTGTTCTGCCTCTTCTTAATTAATGGAACTCAATTTAACTTATACAAAATCGTGTTGGTTGAGATTAAAAATAAAATTATTCTTTTGTGACTGTTTCAAAAAAGAAATGTCTAGAAGGGTTAATTTTAGAAGGAAACAAAGTATACCCATCACTCAGTTAATCCATTGAATTTGTTAAAAATAAAATTATTCTTTTGTGACTCACTCAGTTAATCAATTGAATTTGTAAACCAATAGTCCTAATAGTGAAATAAACTTGCGCCAGACACCCAGACATGCCCAGATCGGCTCGGCTAGTAATCCTGATACATGTATACTTTAAATAAAAAAATGTTTAGAAAATTGTACTCTTCTTTTAAAGATAACTATCTAAAAATAAAAAAATGTAATCCAACTATAACTAAAATAATTATTATAAAAGTTGTAAAACAAGTAAAAGTACTTACAAAATATCAGATACCATTAATGGGTATTGAATTGTTTGTTTAACACTTGGCACTCAAATATCAAGCGTTTACATGGAAAGTGGAAATGTTTATAAAAAGAACCCATTGCACAAGCTCTTCTCGGTTTGATTCTCGCATTTGAGCTTCAGTTGAGAGGCGACGTTGGGTTCGGAATGTCACAAACGGGCAGATCGTGTGCCTTTTACATTAATTTATTAGTCGGTGTGAAGCTAAGTTGAATCAAATGAAATCATAACGCTCTATTGTTTAGCTTCCTATAGGAAGTACGCGTATTTAACCTCCGAATCTGTTTGTGTTCTGAAATACCAAAGCCCAATGAACATTACACTGCCAATTAAAGCCGAGTGAGAATAAATAAGTTTTTTATAACTAGCAAATTTCTGAGAATTTGCATTTTCTATTGTTCGGAATCTTATCGGATCTTGGTCAAATGTTCTATTTACACTGTCATTGAAAATAATTAAAATCCTTCGGTTAGCATAAGGGCAAAATTACTGTGAGTCCCAGGGTAGATATACATTTTAACGAGCGGTACGCAAATGAGAAGGTGGTCTAGGAAGTCTAAACATCGAAGTTAATTTACACAGACTTTTCTTGCTAAGCTCCCTTGTCGGGTTCCAATTTTTTTTTATAATTGGTACCCCATATAACGCGAATAGATAAAGTTCTACCTGTGCCACGGATTTTGGGGTCTGGGTCTCAATTCATTAAGTCCAGAGCTCTCGACGCGAGCGGTTGATCTGTTCTGATCTCTCGGAGTGTCGTGTTTATATTACTGCTCTGATTCCGAACCGCCGATTAGCGTCAGTTGCAATCAGCTCGAATCAGCAGTAATTCAATCAGAGATATGGTGGGAAAAATTGTACAGCTTGTGGTGGTGGCTCTGCTCATCTCCTGGACGGAGGCTCAGACCGAACCCCACTACGAGGATCCCAACAATCTCAAAGTCTGGCTGACCATCAGTGCCCGCAAGAGATTTCTGGAGGTCTCCTGGAGTAATGCTCCGGCGAACAAGGGTGACCAAGTCCTCGTGACGAAGGAGGATGCGCTCACCTTCCAGACAAAAGTGCTGCCCAAGCGCACTCCTTTAGCCTCCTTCCGCAGCGAGGAGGGAAGTGGTTCCGGCGAAGGATCTCCCAGCTATGTTCCCATCAGTGGGTTTACAACCAGACCGGAAACCCAGTCGAGCTCTAAGGAGGAGAAAGAGCAGTACTGGGTGGCCAATGGAGGCGCCACAGATGTTGTGGCTGCCATTAAACCAAGTCAGGGATTGTCCACCCAGTGGTTCACCACTGGACTACCCTATGATTATGCCTTGTCCAGGAATGTGACAGTTCAAACCTCCTGCTACGGCTTTTGGGCCAGTTACATCGATGGACAGGGCAATATCTTGTCCAAAACATGCCTCAAGGGGTTTCCTCGCTGGATGAACGATCTGAAGTCTAAAATAGGAGAGATGCGCTTGCGAGATCTCTTTATTCCCGGATCCCACGACTCCGGCTCATATCGTCCCAATTTCGATCCACTGCTCAGGGAGAGTTTGGTGACCAAGTACGCCCTGACCCAGGATGAGGATATCCGGGGGCAGTTGATGCATGGAGTTCGCTATCTGGATATACGGGTTGGGTACTACCGAAACTCACCGGACCCGTTCTTCATCTATCACGGGATCACCAAACAGCGGCCTCTGCAGGAGGTTATCAATCAGGTTCGGGACTTTGTCCATGAGACCAACGAGATTGTCATCTTCGGACTCAAGGAGTTCCCAGTTGGTAAGGATTAAATGTGTACTTGAAACTTTTTGCTCATTTTCAAAGTAATATAACATCAATGAATATCAGTATTATTTCGATCAGAAGTAGGAATCACAACATTTTCCATCAAGTAGTAACCATTGATAAATCTCAATTCCTGTTTCCCTTAGGCTTTGGCAAGGGACTAGGTGTTCATCGCCTGCTGGTCAGCTATTTGCGCGACCAGTTCCAGGACCTCATTGCTCATCCTTCACTGACCTGGCGGGCTTCCTTGCGCGACATTTGGGCCCGAAGGCAGAATGTGTTTCTGGCCTACGACCATGAGGCCATGGTGGAGGAGTTCCCAGAGGTATTGTTCGGGTCCGTGGAACAACGTTGGGGAAACAAGCAGACGTGGGCACAACTTGAGGGCTATTTGCGCAACGTTAATGACTTCGACGTATCGTGAGTGCACATACCTATTGGTAACACGATAAGATTCAATTATCGCTCTTTGCTCCCGCAGTCGATTCTCCAGCCGACCTGTGTCCGATATGGCGGAGCTGACCCCGGAGACCTGGGACGTCATCCTGGACAAAACCGGGGGTCTGCGCAAGATGGCCGATAACGTGAATTGGCGGGTCTCGCAGCTCTATCGCAATGAACTGGGCACAAATGCCAATATAGTGTCCGTGGATTTCGTACGGGGCACCACAATCGTGGAGACGGCTATAGAATATAATACGCGTAGGATTTATATGTAGAGGGAATTCTCTTTTTTCGGGGTCACATTTACAAGGTAATGTCTTGAAAACAAGTTTTGAATTTGCAGTAATACGTTTATTTGCTAAGCGGTTAAGTTAAACATCCAAACGATGCTTATTGTACTGCTGTGTAGCTTCCCTAAACATGTCACATTTTAAAGTTTGTTCCCATAAAAGCGCTTTCAACGACTTCCTGATTATGTTAAAAAGGAATTAGGATTGTAGCACCTAACCATAAACTTTAGTGGGAAGTGAGCCAAAAAGGCCTTGGGATGTGTAAAACCTGTTAACTGAGGAGCTTGCTCAAATAAATACATACATACATACGTTACAAACTAAATTCTAATGTGTGCCGATTTCGTTGAGGGGAATACCAATTTCCTAGCGAAAATATCATACAAATGGGGCAGGGCTTGCTTAAAACTGTTTAAAATTTAACAAGATTTTAGAGTTTTCAAATATCAATTACGAGTGTTTTCGAACTAAATGCACGAAGTTCTACGGTGGGGTAAATAGATCTAGTTTATCGCCTCATTCGACTCGATAATGGTGGTATTAAAGACGGCCCGGCAAATCTCCACAACCGAGTTGGACAATCGTCCGTAGCACTTGGGCTTCTTTTTCCAGGCGATGAAGGCGTAGTAGAATGGAATGCCGGCCAGGGTGATGGCGACGCCAATCAGGAGATTACCTGGCTCCTCCAGATTCGGGAGCAGTACCAACGTTACGCAGCCCACCATGAAGATAATGGGCAGCGCGAGATGGACTTTAATGGGTCGTGGCAAGTCGGGCCTGAAAGAATGCAAAAATATTTGTTATTTAGACAGATTGACAACTCATTAAACTTAGAAAATCAATATGTGAGTAACACATTTCTAACTTAAAGTATTATTAGTAAGTTAATAATATTAAGTATTACCAGCTGGTTTATATTAGTGACGGAATAGTGACATTATTCTGGTGGCCAAAATCTTTAAGGATTTTATTTACTTAATTACTTAATTATTATTAGTGTTAATTAAAAAATATTTTGATTAGCTAAGGTTAACCATCCCTTGATTAACTTTAATAATGTGTAGCCCTTTCTTTAGATATCCTTATATACTTGCTTAAAAGGTATTACCTATCAAAATACCAACCTCTTATGCCGGAGCCACAACATTCCGGCTATGCTGGCCACCACTGAAAGCCATAGTACCGAACTGAAGTAGTTGATCAACTGGTAGACATTATCCGTGAGCAGCATTAGCAGCGACATCAGACACTAAGGGTAAACATCATATCATATCATATATCATATTTATCATAAATATGCAAATATCATATAGCATTTCTCGGGTAAAATGCAAACTTACTGTGAAAATCAGGGCGGGAATGGGCGTCTGTTGCTTGACGTGGAACAGCTGGAAAAACTTTGGCAAATGCCCCTCCTGAGCACCAGTGGCGAACAGTCGCGCCGAGGTGAAGAGCACCCCGTTCACGCCTCCAAAGGTGCTCAAGGCCACAAAAATGGGCACCATGAAAGCCAGAGGTCCGAACACACGGTTTCCAAAGGTCACCGCCACGGCCAAGGAACTGAGCATCTCCGGTTTGTTGACCACTGCGAAATAGGCCAAGTTAACCAGAACATAGATGCCCGTGACCAGGGGCATGGCTATCCAAATGGCACGCGGAAGATTTCTGCACAGAGATAAAAATAAGGTTATTAAAACTTATATTTTAGTAAATATTTTTTTGTGATATATGCCACTTGCTGATATGCAACACATTTTTGATAAATAAATATATATTGGGAAAATGTAAATACCATTTTTACAAAGGCTTTTATAATACTTTCCATTTTTATTGAATAAAAACATATCATTTTTCGATTTTTAAGCACCTTCAGGAGAGTTTCAATATTAAAATTATTTCTAGCACTTCTTATATTTAAATAAAACTGGCAACCCAACAAAATTATGTTTTAAGCTACAGCATTTTATAAACAAGTATATTTAGTATCCCAATCAAATAACATCTATAATATTATTATATTTTCGCGCGCAGCAAAAATGAAATCTAAGGTTTGAAACAGGATTCGAAATAATGTAAGCAAAATAGTGTATCAGGAAAGTAATTTCCTTCAACCCATAGAAATATTTAAACTAAATTTATTGTCGATATAGTTGCTATCACTCTTAGAAAAGACAGAAATAATACCATCTGGCAATTAAATAAAATTTATATATAATTTTCCATGTTCGAATGAAAATAGCGTTAATTCCTTGCTTGAAATTTATCATATGCGAAAAGGAACGTGCTGTTTTCAGAGAATTCCACTTGGCTGTGGAGGGGGTGGAACACTTAAATTGATTGCTGCGCTTCGAGAGCAAATTGAATTCGTTAGGGAGGAGGGGGCAGCTTCCCGCCCACTCGACCACATTCTAGGACCCGCGACTCAAGGACGCTCAACAAGTTTCCACTTGTTGCCGCCTGCGCATGACGCAAAAGGAATGAATAGGACGAATAACCCAGAGTAACCCATTCCACTTTCGCAGCCATTTGTCATGATGGCAGGACGGAACCCTCGAACCCCAACCACTCACTTGTATGGATCCTGCAGCTCCTCCGTGACAAAGTTCAAGTAATTCCATCCTCCAAATGCAAACAGACCGGAGTAGAAGGCGTAGCCAATGTTGCGGGCAGTGTAGGTGCCCTCCCAGGGATTGCTGAAGTTCTCCAGCCTGCCCGTGGCCATGTAGTACAGTCCGGCCAGGATAATCATGATGAGGGCCAGCAGCTTGCCCACCGTGAATACGTCCTGCACCTTCATCGACACCTTGACGGACAGGCAATTAATGGCGGTGAGCAGAGCTGGGGAATAAATTAAAGTTAGTTGCTGCCTTGGGAAAGGGTTGCCTTACTCACTTAGACAAATGGCAGCCAGTAGCTTCACTGCATTCTGCGGTGGATCGCAGTCCGGGAAGAATGGCTTGGCCGCATAATGGGCAAAGGTTAATGCCACTATGGTCTGAAACAAAAAGATATATTTTTAAAGTAAATCAACCAGATTAAATAGTTTGCTCTATCGCGTGCCCGCCTTTTGTTTTCATTCGAGAAAGTTGTTTTCCCCGTAATTGAATTCAATTCCGGTCGAAGGTAGCCGCCACTTAATAAATTTCTATTTATTTGCATCAGCAACCAATTCAAAGCTCTGCCCATCCATCAATCAAGACAAATAAACATTCCGTAATTCAATTGACGGGCCTTAGGAACTGACCTGCGTGGTCGGCCGGATGATGAGCAGTGCTATCCAGAGCCGCAGGAATCCCACCAGAGGTCCGAAGGACACCAGCAGATAGGCATAATCCCCGCCAGATCTGGTGATGCTTGTTCCCAGTTCGGCGTAGCAAAGAGCTCCGATCGTCGATAAAATCCCACAGGCCGACCAAATCAAAAGGGAACTTCCCACGGATCTGAAAAAATAAACAAAGAGCGTGAAAAACAAATAAACAAATTGTGCAAAGAGAAATAAGAGAATTTGTGATAGGAATACCATACATAAATATATGGCTATTCAGAATTAAAGCAAGAGAAAATGCTTAAGTAAATAACCTCGACTATTAGATACCCGTTTCTCTGCTAAAAGGAGTGTGAGAGTAATGGAGATATGGTTGCAGCAAATCGGTTGTTTTCACGCTACATAGCGCCTATAGCGCCACCTAGCGTCGTTGCATGGCGTTTTTCTGCATGTAATGTGCAATCTCGATTGAATTTGCAAATTATTAATTATTATTTCGATATAACTTTTTAATGAATGGTCCGATTTAAATAATTTTTGGCATGTAGATGAGTATTAATTATAAGATCAAATCATTTAAATTCTTAGAAAATATTAAAAAATGTGGGTGCTAGACGGGTCTTAGGCGTTAGGGTGTCGTGGCCCCCTGCTTAAACAAACTTGAACTGCGCAGGAATCCCAAGAATCTGCATGCCAAGTTCCAACATTGTAGCTCTTTTAGTTTCCGAAATCCCAGCGTTCAATCACAGCGACAGACCATCATCGCTAGATCGACTTGTCTAATGATCCTGATCAGGAATATACATATTTACTTTATGTGATCGGAAATGCTTCCTTCTACGTGTTATATACTTTTCGACGAATCTAGTACTCTACGAGTAACGGGTATAAAAATAGATTGTCCATTTGGTAATTTATAAATATTTTAATTGTTGTTTTTTCCGTCGTTTAATAAGTACTATACGAACGAAACATATGTAACCTTGGAACTGTTTTCCAACTGCCTTATTCTTATGACGCACACCTTTCTTGCCTCCTTATCAATAATTTGAATGTTGGCTCGCCTTATTGACGTTATTCTTGTAACTGGAGACAAGTCGTTTAAATACGTTTTAAAGCTGACGCAATATTTGCGCAGAATTTCGAGGGCGAATCTTCGAGGGAAAATCGACAACTAATAAATTTATCTTAATTGGTGCCAAAGGAATGTATGCGACAATCTATCCATTAATTAAAGGTTAAATTGACCTTTTTGTGGACAAATTGAATTGAGGATGATGCTGTGTGTATGTGGGCGTATGAATATGCAAATCATCTCACTCACTCGGTATAAAGAAAGACTCCAGTGGGTGCGATGAAGATGCCCGATCCGATGATGGTGCCCACTATGATGGCCACTCCGTTGATGAGGGTTAGCTTCCGTTTCAGGACAATCTTCTCCTCTCCCTCGCTGGGATTTGTGTTCCCGGAGGATGAGCGTCTGTTTGTGGGCTCAACCAGGCTGGTGGTGACTCCATTGGCATATCTGTCCGTCATGATTGAGTGCTGGAATCTGGTTCTGCTCTAGTGCTGGATGACTGACATTGCCACTGAAAAGCAACAAAGTATTTGAATTTTAAATGTGCTAAGTTTTACTATCGCTGAACGAGAGTTCAGCACGTGTTGCGCAAATTGTAAACAAATGGCTGTCTTTCGCGTTTAGTTTTTGGTATACGAGTAGTTACTAATTGCTCTTGAAGACCCAATCTTTGCTTCGCTGGCACCAAAGTAATCTCTCATTGTCAGACATAAACTTTAATTATGTTTTTAGACAGCACTATCTTCGATACACAAACATTAAGCTTTAAAGTACGGTCTTTGGGGGTTGGCGTGATATTTTCCCATAGAGTTGCGTGTGTTTTTCTAGTGACGCCTTCGCCGCGTGCCAATTTTCACGATTTCGTCATCAAACTGCGACGCGTGGCAATGAAATTGCAGTTCCGAATTTGTAGCTTTCTGACACTTGCCCCTTGGCTTTTTTTGCAACGTTTGGAATGCAGTTTGGCTGATTATTTTGGTTTATCTTGTCTGTTTTGGCTGTAAAACGCGATTTCTTTTACCTCGAGCGAGACACAACAAAACGGCTTCGACTGCGAACAGCGACTGTGCGTTGGCATCGAGACGAGACCGGCATTTCATACTAAAATTAACAATTTCCACCCCAAAACCAGAGAGAGAGCGATTCGCGTTTGTGAGTCATGAAATCCAAAGAGAGAAATAATTACTCAAAACCGGAAAGTGGAATCTAAATGTTTGTTTACAAAATGAAGCGTTAGTCGGTGTTGCAAACTGATTGTGAAAATTTGTATCAATCCGAACAAGTTTTAAGTTTAATGTTAAGTAAATAATAAATAAAAAATACATTAAAACTCCCGCCTGAATTTCAAATATATAAGTCAGTCACCACGAAACGCGTTCAGCTGTTGCATCTATCAGTTATCGATAACAAACAAACCGTCGCTCAATTCCCATCTCTATCCTTTTTAGTTATTGTTTTGATAATTGCACGTGTTTTCTTCGACTGCGTTTTAAAAGCCAAAAACTAGACATGTCAGACAAGTAAGCTGCGTATAATCATCTAATATGTGATCACTTAATACAAGCCCTCGTAAATTCACCCCCAGATATGCAGTTCCCAACAAATTGCCCGGCAAAACGGTCTCCGTGCTGAAGCACCGCAAGAGGAGGATTCTCCAGGATGAGTCCGTCATTACGCAGAAGAAAAATGACCGCATCAAGAAGAGGACCGCCAGCAAAAATCACCACAAGTTCCGCCGCGCCGAATCCTTTGTAATGGGCTACCTGAAAGCTGAGCGCACGGCCAAGCGGATCAAGCAAACCATCCTGCGCACCAATGTCACCGAGCAAAGTGCCAAGGCCGCCGATGATTGCAACCCAAAGCTACTCTTCGTGATGCGCCACGCGGGCAAGAAGATCTTCGACAAGACCACATCGGAAATATTCCGAACCCTGCGCATGGGCACGCGCCACAATGCCGTTTTTCTGGAGAACACCAAGGAGAACCAGTTGCTGCTGCGCGTGATCGAACCCTTCGTGGTCTATGGCAATCCCTCGCTCAGCTCCATTCGCGAGCTGGTCTTCAAGAAGGGCTTCGCCCGCATCAACGGCAAGAAGACGGCCATCCAGTCGAACACCATGGTGGAGGAGCAGTTGGGTGAGAAGGGCGTGATCTGTCTGGAGGACATCATCCACGAAATCTGTACAGTGGGTCCAAACTTTGCGGCTGTCAATGAGTTCCTGTGCGCCTTTACGGTAGGTTATATCTTCAGGAGCCATCTTTATAGCAATCCTAATCTGGTAATCGTTCTTTGCAGTTGTCCAGTCCCAGCAATGGTTGGCAGAAGAAGGTATCGGTCTCCTACAAACGCGGTGGCGAATACGGCGATCGTGGCAGTGCTATCAATGAACTGATTTCCCGCTGCCTGTAGAGAACCTAAGCCAGTAGACCATTAAGTGATTGTTCAACCTCAATAACCCATTCTGTAGCTAAGCCCAATACACATTTATAAACAAACTAAGCCTTCAGACTAACTGATTTTGCAAATCTGCCCAACTAAAGGGATTTATGTTTTAAGGGAGTCTTATAGTTAGCTAGAGCTCCCTACCAAGGTTTCACTGTTAGCCCATAAAGCAATCCCCAGACCATTAAGGAACCACATGAAACTGTCTCTAACGACGTTCCTCATTATCCTACATGTTTATCAACATGGTAAACTCCACCCACGAAACAACTTTGCCTTTGGCCTTGCGTGTCCCAGCCAAGTTCCCAAATTGAACAAACCAGAAAATCAACTTTTTGCTAAGAATAATAAATAACTCATAACCGAGAAGGAGGCGCGGTGGGGGGAAGGGAAGGAAAGGTATGCCAAATTGAGCTACTTGTTGCCATGAAGGAGGGAAAGTTGTTTTCCGATTAGTCGAAATCAGTGCCACTAACCTAGTGCAACTCGGAACGTCGTATCCTTTTGTTTCAAAAATTCTAGGCACTAGACCATAGAAATCAAAATTCAAGTTAGATCAACTCAAATGAATTCAAATTTTAAGAATGAGGAGTGGGAGATGGACCGCAATGGACTAAAAAAACTTTTGGCCAGATCCCTCAAAGATCCCATTCTGGGCAAGCATTTTTCTCTGCCCGGCCGCACAGGACAGAGTCAACCCATCGAACTGGACACCAGCCAAAGCTACATTGCTGTGTACACTCATCTCAAGGTGCACGCCACCCGAATGCCGGAGAGATTGCCCACGCCCGAGGCTATTGGACGCGTACAGGCGGAGAGCGTAGAGGTTAAATATAGGACTCGAACTTCAAAGACCCGTGGTGACCCCTGTTCAACTATAACTTGAGTTATTAACTGTGAGGTCGATTTAAAACATTGTACCGCTCTCTATCGAAAACTAAAAATCTCTAGAGCCGATTTGCAAATGTCATGTTACGGATTTAGTTTTTTATCTGTCACATACAGTTATAAATAGAGGACTGCATGGGTACACAAAATGGGTCAAAGTTATATGGGTACCTTTTATGAGCTCTAGAAAATAAAAACAAACCGCTAAATACTTTTTAAAATAGATGCAAAATGTATGCTTAAAACAACTAACCGATTTTTGATTCGCAATTCTCAGTATTAGCAGTTATTTGACGTTAAAGTCAAAATTTAAATTTTTTGGCGTATTCAATATATATTAAAAAACTTTAGTTAGTTAATTATCTTGTCGCTAAACGAAGTATTTTTCAAAATGTTGTTTTCAGCTAAATGGCGAAGGTTTTAATGTTAATATATTTGTTTTCTTTGTTGTTCAATTAAGATTAAACAATGGAAAATGCCTCGACTATCAGTTACCCGTTACGCAGTTAAGGGGAGTATAAATTAAACACAATTTTAAACTAATATAATATTTAATCAAATATAAGACATATTTAAGTGTTAATTTGATAATTAACTCCTAAATATAACTTCAGATCAAAGCAAATCATATAGTTTCACAAGTTCTTGCTGATAAACGATCAAGTAAATGGGTTGTGCTTGATAAAACCCTAAGTGTCAAGGCTTCAATGTGGTCATTTTCATGTCGGTGTCGTATTTTGTATCCATAGATCTTGATAATATAGTGTTAAAATAAAGTAATAAAGTCAGACATTCTGATTGTGGTTCTTCCTAAACAGTTTTTAAAAGTTCCAATGAAACACGCGCAATGAATCTTGCGAATAACGTTGAATAACGAGAGTGTTTCCTTGTCATCCTCGCCCTCAGTTCTGCAGGATACGCACGGCGTTGTACATCTGGGCAATGATGGGTAGCTGCTTGGACTCGCGCCGGCAGAGGCATTTGTAGGCGTGGGACAACAGCCTATCCAGGGCCGCCACATCAATGTCATCGGGCTTGGTGGCCGCAATCTGAATGTTCTGCTCCGTCATCGGCTCCTTCTGCGTGAGCGGTGTGAGAGGTGGACATGGATCAATACTGCGGATGGTAAACGCTGGCAGCACTTACGAGGTTGTCCAAATAGGCCAGCAACTGGTGTCCTACTGAGGCAATCTTCAGAAACGTGGACTGCGAGCTCTCCGCGTAGAGATTGAGCCTTCGGCCGGCTATCTCTAGCAGCAGTCGGCCCAGCTCCTCGTCTTCACTGATGTCGTGGAGCAGCATCTGGGCCTCCGCATCATACCCGAAAGCGTACAGCTCCACCACCTGGAGGTGGGAAAAATATATTTAATATATTTTTATTTCAATGTGTTTCCTGTGTTGTGCTCTATAATGAACGAACTAACTAACTGAAATGGAAGCTCATGGTATCCCTAAATAAAAAGCACAGGTTCCTAAGATTACAAATGTATTACAATTTGAGCAGATGAAAAGGTGTCTACGATTTTGGAACAAAAACATAATAATAATAATAACTGGACTGTCACATACTCGTACATACTTAGCTAACCAACTTTAAAACAGAAACAGAAATTGACATGACTTTTGCCATGTAGATTGGAATTGTTCAATAAAATCGATTTAAATTTACACAAAAATGTTGGGCAGTCTTTAGCGTTAAGGGCGTTTCAGTGGGAGAGGCACTCCGTTGAAACAAACTTGCGCTGCCTAAGAACTCCTAGAATTGGTATGCTGAATCTTAACATTCTAGCTTTTATAGTTTCCGAGATGTCAGCGTTTATACGGACAGACGGAAATGACTGTATACATTTTAACTCTAAGAGTAACGGGTATAAAAATAAATTAGCAAAGCTTAAATAATTTGGTGACTTATGTTTAACGGAAGAAATAAGATTTTTCACTACACTGGGTCGCATATTCTTACCTGTCGCCTCAGAATGGGAAGTTTGTCGACCTCCCAGCTGTCAGCTAGATCACAGATCTTGGTCATGTAGAAGACATGATCTAGGATGTACAACTGCTCCAGGTCCTCTCTAATTAGGTCCATTGTAGCAGACACTAGGCGACACAGGAAATCTGTGCGCTGCTGCTGGAGTACGAGATCTGGTGCTGGCAGAACGTAGGGTAGCTCCTTGTTGATGTCCGCTAGCAGAGCCTTGTTGCTCATCGAGTCAAACAGCGTGGTCAGAGGTTTGGAAATGCGAAGTTGGAAGAAGGACACGAAGTGGAGTACACTACACAGTTCCGTCTGCAGACGGAGCAACTGCGGCATGGCGTGGTGCTGCTGGAGAGCCAGGAACTGCAAGGGCAGGGCTCCCTCACTTAGAGACTGTTCGAAGTGCAGTTCCCGCTTGTCGTGCTCCATAGATGTGGTGAAATGCTGAAGGAATTCGAGGCTGAGTTCTAGGAACTCCGGAACTTTTCCCGCCGACATCTCCAGATCTTGTTGGCACATCTTGTCCACCGGTAGGCGTCCCACTTTCTGAATTAGCTTGGCCGCTGCCTGCAGAGGAAACTTTAGGGTGGCATTCCACAACATGCAGCATATTCCGTGCTTCAGGGCCCAGTCAGGTGTACGAAATTGGTTTAAGCAAAGCAATGCTGCCCTCAGGTGATCCAGCGAAGATAGCTGCTTGCTCCATTGAACCATATATTGCCAGGACATGAGACTTAAAAGCACGCCCGATTCCAAGCTGAAGGGAAAGTGGGCACGGAGCAAAGCTAATCGCTCCAGAATCGGTTCGTGGGCATCTTTGTTTGTCACCTGTACTTCCTTAGCCATTTCTAACTCCTCTTCTGACTCGGCCTCTTCACTGGGCCGCTCCTTATTTGGATCATCCTTTGTGTCAATTTTGCTTTCGTCGTCTAACTCCTTTTCCGGCGCCGATACCTCCAAGATTTTACTGGGATGAAGTTGCGCACTGATTAGCCACTTGGCCGTCAGCTCGGTAACGATGCCTTTGCCACTGCTTACAATGCTCTTGAGGCTGCAGTCTGGTGGTTCGTAGGACATCTCTGGACCCACGGGATCCCGGCAGGTGAGCTGCTTACTGTGCATGGAAAAGTATTTAATAAAAATATATCGGAATGGGGGATTCTGGACGTACCCCAGTATTGCACCCAGCACGGCCACGTCCTCTAGCTTGCCAGTGAGTAGTCCCCACTGGGCCTCATCGTGCGATATGCGTTCCCAGCGCTCCTCCTCCTCGTTTTGCGAGGAATCGTCACAAGATCCCTGAAGAAAATCGCAATTAATAAGCTTGTTCCATTAGATTTTACAGACGGCCTACCTCTTTTCTGTTGCGCCACAAATTACTGGCCACCGTTTTACAGACAATGGCTACCAGCAAGCCTGAAAACTGTTTACTCTCCAAAAGAAGTTCACGTACTTCCTGCCACCACGGTGAGATAGCATTGTAGGCATAGTCGTGGATGTGCTCTCCAGCCAGGTCGCATATAGTATGCACCATAGCAGCGATCCTAGACATGTCATCCACTACTTCATCACTGAAACAAGTACATAGATAATAGGTAAGGTAAATTAAGAAGGATTGGAATGTGGCTTTCCTTACCAGTTGTTGTATTTAAAAGGCTTTTCAAGCCAAAACCAAATAATCAACTTTAGCAAATCCCTGCTGGGCAGACATGCCTGATTGATCCACTGCTTGAACTGACCAAAACACAGACCTTGTGCAAAAAACTGGCTGAAGAGATCAATACTAACAGCGCCAAACTTGTCGGCTTTTTCCGGCAGCAGCCTGATGCCATCTGGACTCTCGATGTTAAAAATGCTCAGGTAATCGACAAACTCCTCGGTCTTGTGCTCCCCTTGCAGCTTGAAGCTTACCTCGCGCGTGGAGGAGGGTTTTTCCTTATCGGTGCCGTCGTCCAGAAGCAAAACCAACTTGTTAATGGTGACAAGATCTGCATCAGAGAGCTCTAGGTGCTCCACAGGTGGTTCGCTTTCTCCCCGCTGATTGATTTGCCCCAGGGCCAAGTATAGATCAGTCAATCTTTTATAGTTTTCGATTTGAATGACAAAATCCTCGGAGTTTAACGACTCGGGAAGAGGTTTCTCAATAAAGGCATTAATAATGCACTGAAAAACCTGTGGTTGCAGCTTCTTGCTCTTTAGCAACGTTTCCAGGCATTGTTGTCGAACCTCGAGCGTCTGTAGTTCACTAGCCAGCTCGCCAATTTCTCCCAGCACTACATCCTTAGCATCGTCATGATTAAAGGTTTTCAACTGATTTCTCAGACGCCTCAGCATATGGATATCCCGCGATGTCTGGGAGCTGGTCTCGCTCAGGGCATAGTGAAAGGGAATGTGCACCTCCTTCAGGCTGCCATCGCTGGGGTCCAGGAACAAACAGTGATTGATAGCAATAGCTTTTCGGGATTGACTGCTTCCGCCAGTAGATCCACCACTTTTGCCGGTGCCAAGAGCACTGTGATTGTTGTATATTAGTTGGCCACTCTTCGAGACATTAAAAGCAGCCACCTTGGGACCGTTTTGCAAGGCCCAGATGTCCAGGCAGCCCAATCTAGGAGTGTATATCACCAGGAACAAAGCCTTTCGCTTGTGCGTCTTAATCCCGCGCACAGATCGCTCTTTGACAGGAACGAAAGCGCACTGGGCATCCCGATAGCCCTTCCACACGCGCAGGATAATGGCTTGCTGCGTGTCGACCAACATTACACGATCAAGATTATCCGTGACAACAGCCAGACGGCCACCTGGTGCCACTGCTAGGGTTAAGCCATCTCTCTTTCCGTCGTACAGGCGACAGCGAATCCTCATCGGGGCCACTTTTGTGGGCACGGGCAGTGGGGATTCCTCTGGCGATGGCAGTGGCTCTGGAGCGCGTCGAAAGAGTCCACCTAGCAGGTTCTTGTACGCTATTCCGATAACATCTTTGGCCACCTCACCCAGCGACATGGTTTTGTATCCCTCCTCCGCCTGGAAGAAACCCAAGTAGGGCTCCGCTCCGGCGGCAAGAACTTGTGAGCTTCTCGGCGGCGTGGCTTGCACTTTGGCGAAGTAACCAAGGCCAATGCTCTGCTGGACAATATAGTCGTATGTTGGAGGTCGCTGTGTGCTGGATATGACGGCATCGTTGATGACGGCCTCTTTCGCCTGTTTGAACTTATACTTTTGGAATGGCACCACATCCGCAATGGGATACGTACTCCTCTCCAAGGCGCCTCTTTGAACATTGTGCCGGCAGTTGGTCAAGGTGGGCAAAATGTCCTGGCCCTGGATGAAGCACAGACAGCGAGGATACACAATGTAGAGCAGGGAATCGGCCTCCGTGTGGCGAGGTGCAGACTGCAGCTTGACTCCTATGACCGGATCTTCTTGGCAGCTGGAGAATGTACTTTGTTAGTGAGCGTATAACATTATTTGTTCAACTGACCATTGAGAAAAGAGCTTTAGGCCAGAGTCCGTGTAGAAGATCACCATGCCCGATACTAAGCCAACTGCCACGCATGTCCACTCAATAGCTCCATCTGTACTTCGGTTATGGGTCATTGGCAAACAGGTTAGACTGGTCACGATTTGGTTGTGATCCTCTAGCTCTCCGCACCACCCCAGGACGTAGGTGTTGGCATTTCCATGGCTGCTCCAGCAGGTGGAGAGAAATGCCAGCTTTTCACCCTGGGCCATGGCAATCAGTTCCCCAGTGGGTGAAATGGCATGGTTTACCGCATTTAACCAGTTGTCATCTGCTCAAAAAGGATACACTATGATTACTCACTGCAGGAGCTATTGCCAAAGCTATCTCACCGTGTCCGAGTCCAAAGTATTCCTGTACTTTCCTAAAATCGCGGATTTCTCCGCAGTGTTTTACTTCACAAGCCATCGTCTTTTGTTTTCATCACACAGCTGATTTGCTGTGGAGGTGGCAGGGCAGCTAGTTCTAGCGAATTTGTGAGACTGCTTTTGAGTATAGCCGGCACTGGTGCTATAGCTATTCACAAATATCGATTTCAGCGCAACAGGTATCGCCAATCACAACGAACTAATGGCGCTTAAAAATAATTTATCGAGAAATCCATTATTTAAAACGATTTTGGTAATATTATTATTCTTTTTAGTAGACGGATTAAAGAGTTGGAAAATCGCTGTATCGATCTAAAAAGGGAATGGATTAAAATAAAAATAAAAGTTTTTATTTCCAAGGAGGTTACTTTTCATTTTTATTCTAATGTTAAAAACAACACACACTAAAAGAAAAATATTCGGTCAATTGTTTAGGCCCCAGTTTACTGCACCGATTAAGCTGTGGACCTCTAGTATTTAAAATAGGTGGAACTATCATATTAGTTTTGATTTTATTTTAATACATACTCCAAAAGTAAGTTTATTGTACTGCAACATGTTGTAACTCGATCTATGATCTACTAAATCGAGGGTAACCTAAATTAAATCCGAATCCACACCGCTGTCGATAAAGTCCTTCAGCATCAGGCCGCAATGATCGGGCAGGAGTCGCGTCCAGTTGTTGATGTGCAGCAGGCAGCTGGGAATGGTTACCTCCATAAGACCGGAGCGGTGGGCCTCCACGATTCTTCTGGCCACCTGCTTGGGATCCAGCAGGCCCAGGATCGAGGGGAACTTCACCTTGGGATGCTTGCACAGGCCGGTGTTGGTCATGTAGGGGAAGATGGTGGTTGTTTTTATCTAAAATAGCCTTGCATTAGTTTTGTGTTATTGGGATGCGATTTTGTATCCTACCAGATCCCTGTAAGGTCCCTCTCGTAACTCTGCATGCAGTGCCTCCATCAGCCCACGAACTGCGAATTTTGTGGCGCAATAGGGCACCAAGTTGGAGATCCCAACCAAGCCGGCAATAGAAGAGAGGCAGATGATGTGGCCACGATTCTTCTCTTGCATGTGGGACAAAAAGGCCTGGATGGTCCAGAACTGAGAGAACACATTCACATCGAAAACCCGCTGGATTTCCTCGGCCGATTGCTGGAGGATTGGGTGGGTGGGCATTATGCCGACATTGTTTACAAGCACCGATATGTGTCCAACCTCGGCCTTGACCCGATCCGCTAGGGCCATAACCTCTTCTCGCTTGGATACATCGCAGCTGGATGGATAAATAGGATGAAAATTCTTTTGATATAATTTAATTACATATATGTATGTATAATACCTGTAGCTGTAAACTTCGCCTAGATTGAGGCGTTTGGCCTTCTGCACAGTCTGCGAGTTGTTTTTCTCATCGATGTCAACACAAACCACTGTGCTACCCAAAGAAGCATAGTGAAGGGCGAGCTCCCGGCCTATTCCATGTCCAGTTCCTGTAATCTTTGGGGATAGAAATTGTAATTATTAAAAAAGTTAGGACGTCGTGTAATATATTTTTACCAGGACTATCTCCCCGCTGATATCTTTCAATTTCTTGGGCAAGAAAGTCTGTACCAGGGTAACAAACAACTCCAGCAGGATTCTCACGAAGAGCACCAAGAACTGCAGGACATCCTGAAGAACTTCGAAGATGCGCTTTGAAGCGGGGGTCGTGCTGAAATGAACAACAATATAATGCACAATATCTAAGTGAAATATCCAACTAGTTAGTTACTGGCCACTCCGAGTTGGCAAATATTTGAACAAAGTTGAAGCTCGACAAACCCCGAAATGATTTAATTTATCTATTTGTATGCGCCCACTGCATGTGCAATGTTCAAACGGTCGGGCAGAAGGCGATCGGCGGACTTTGCCAAGTCTCCATAATATAGTACAACATAAGATAGTGGAGAGTACTGAGACTGCCTCGAGTATTGACACTGGGTCTTGGCCCCCTTTTTGGATACTCGAGGGGCCAAGCGATCGACAGTAGAGGCTCAATCGGTTGGAAAATTACATATGAATGGGAATTATAATGTCCAAGATATTCATTCTAATTTAAGCTTACTATGGAATAATACTATGGTAATTTTCACCATTTCTAAAACTAAATTCTATTTACATTTTCGAAACAACCCTATATGAACAAAATATTTCTCATCTACATATAGCTAGTAGTAGTCTAGTTGTGGAACAAATATATTAAGCACATTTTAAAATATTTAAGTTATTTGATAGATAATTTGAAAGACACAAGTAAAATGATATGAAGTAAACATACAATGTGAAGCTGTCATCAAAATAATGTTTCTACTGTAATTACTGATGAGGGAGCAGTGTTTTCATCAGTGTTTCATTTCTGTTGGGATATATAGCGATAAGCGTAAGCACTTACTGGATAATTTCTCGTTCTATCATAATGACCGTATATGTTCGGATAAATGTATGGTTTCCCTGGGTTCCGAAATCCGGCGCTCTTTGACAGCTTATTCAAGCAGAACCAAGTGCAATTCAATGCCTGTAATGAAAAATAATGATTTTGAGTCACGGATAGTTTGACTGGCTCGTCGCTCTTCCGTATTTGCGGGCTTCCTTTTCACAACTTTTGGCTTTTGAGCTTGGCGAGGAGTCGGTTTTCTTGTTATTATTTTTATTTTTCCCCGATTTTACAACCGGCTGGCCAAGAGCGAGCGGCGTGGGCGAGCGAGGAGGAGGTGAAGGAGATGGAGCGGCCGGCGGCATTGCAACATTTCCACTTTCGTTTTCGATTCGGTTGCCACTAAATGGAAAATTACGTGCACTTCGATGTGGCACACAGAAAAGAGACAAATGCTCGCAAAGAAAAAAGGATGCAGGGGTGTAGGAATGGGGGTTATATGGCACTTACATCCCGCAATATTATATTCGATATGAAGCGTTTTATAAACACAAATAAAGCTTGAAGTTTAAATTTTAAACCAATTGATATTAAAGGGGTATTTATAATAATAATACTTTACAAATATTTATGATCATAAATAAACGGATATGACTTAACCTAAATTTATCAATTTTAAATATGATTTGAATATCATGAAATAGGACCCCTTTAATTTAAACAAGTTCTAAAATCCCCCCTTGATATCTGTTTCCATATTGCACTGCCTGATGAATGTGGCTCGATTACGCGATGTCAAAAAGTGCAAGTCTCTTATGCTCTTGTCCAAGTTCTCTTCTCTTTGGCCAACTGCTGTCTTTGGCTCTTTTACTTTCTTGGCAAGAGGCAGCCAAATGGCCCGATGCAATGGGGAAGCCAAAATGTTTGTTGCAACAACCGAAAGCCGTAACCATAAAATGCAACGAGGGTCTCTATAATACTTTTCCTGCGTTTTCGGTTGCCTAATCAATTGGGTATCTGATGATTGTTTACTTAACGTAATTGTATATAATTATTAGGGCTATTATGCTTTTAACGTTAACGTATCAAAACAAGCAGAAAAAGCTTGAAAGCCAAACATATGTTGTTTTTACTTTATAGACACAGATATCACTAAGCTTAAGAGGATTGTGTAATGGAAAACCTAATGATTAAAAGTTACTAAAACACTTGATATTCAAAAGTCATTATTCTTAATGAATTTGACTAGCTATCTTATCATGGTTTTCAGTGAACAGGTGCGTCCATTTATTTAATGGTTGATTTAATCGATTGGTTTAATGTGTAATATCCTGCAGTTAAACAAGTAGTTTATAGTTTTTGGGGTACATGCAATAACTTATTTCACTTTCACAAATTACACTTTGCACTGTATTAATATGTTTATAACTTGAAATCAAAGAAATTATATTAAATGTATGACTTATTTACACAATTCGAGTATTAGTATTTCCAACGGATCGTTATCGTTAAGTGTGAAGAAGATCCGAACCCAAGTCGAGACTGGAACGACCGATGGGTCTCGATGCTCGGCGCAAAATGATTCCAGTTGCAGGCCTTCCAAAGCGACGAAGCCTACGTTCAAATCGGGAAGAGTGGAAGCCCCAAGAGAGGGCTTAAGAGAGCAAATAGATTGGAAGAGCGCTGGAACGTGATCCTTGAGTTACCGCAAACTGAAAAATGGTCTCCTCTTTGTTTCAGTTTTCCAGAAAAAAACCACCAGCCACAGGTGACCTTCATCGGGGTCCAGACGAAAACAAAAGACCGGGAAGCAAAAGTTGGCTCAAACCAACTTGGCTAAGCATGATTTACCGTTTTCATGCTTTGCTTTTGCTTATTTTTAAGATGAGTAAGCTTAAGTTCGCACCAAGTTCAAGTTCAGCGGTCGTAATTATTGAAAAGAGAGCGGGGAGTGTCAACTGGATCTGGATAATGCTCTTATCCAGTTTTTTCCTGGGCTGATAATCAGAATAAATATGCGTATATGTATATTTTGAAACGAAATTCACTTTTACTCGAATGCATTTTATTATATATTTTTTTTCTTTGTTTATATACCCGTTTCTCGTTAAGGTGAAGGGTGTATTTATATCGTGCATAATAAGTGAAAGATAAAATAAAAAGTTCCAGCAGAATGTATAATGTATATGTATATAGATACAAGGGTTCAAATTCTTTGTCATGTTTTCCATTTTCAAAACTGTAAACACTTATTGTAAAGAAATGGTTTAATATATATGTAAATATGTTTTTATTGAAAGAAAATCCATAATAATCATATAACTTGAAAGAAATTGGTTTGAAATACTTAAGTTAAGACAGTGTTGTTGTGAAAAAATGAATTCTTACGCCTTTTAGGTATGCAGTATTTTTCCTCCTTGGGTATCTCATAGTCGGTACATTCGACTGTGTGGCTTTTACTTGTTTTATTATCTGATTGACGGAAGGTCATCGAAGGGCTCTCCCCGCATTTGCCGTTCAATTTCAAGCGATCGACGACCCGTTCACATAATTGGTGTCAATTTCGAGTGCAACAACAACTGAAGCAGCACTACAAAAACAATAAGAGTAGAAGCAATTGCACTTTAGATACTGATAATTACCATTGTGACTTGTATTATTAGTAGGGGGGTGACTTGTTGTTAAATAAAAGTGGTTTATTTACCTATAGTCTTATTAAATATCAAAATTGTAACAATAATTTCTTTGTAGGAGCTCTTAATAAATGTAAGCTACCCAGTCACAATGGGAAATAATCGCGACTTTAGCGCCCAGCTGTCACTCGAATAATCATCGCTCTGAACACAAATCAAAGTAAACAAAGAATTTCTGTCTATTATGTACTGCCCCCGCATACCAGCCTTTGTTAATGGGTGGGGTTATTAGTTGGCAGCCAGCTTGTTGCTTAATGTTTAGTCATTATGGTTCCAATCCACCATCCCTTCCCTTCTATTCCACCACCTTGATTTTCTGCCTTCATTTGACTTATCGATGTGGCGTGCATTAACAATCAATATCAATATGACATGTCAGGCACCTGAATAAGTTAAGGAATACGTTTGGAATCCAAGGGGCCAAAAAGGGTAGTAAGCTTATGGAATTCACCAGATATATAAATATCTGATCCGATCCTGTCAAAAATAGTGACTAATGCGCCGAGCACCCTGATGTTACTTGACCCAATATTAAGCAAATTGAGGTAAAACAAGGAAGAACGCTATAGTCGAGTACCTCGACTATCAGATACCCGTTACTCAGCTATATGGAGATATGCAAGCAGCAAAGCGAGATTAAAATGCGCCACCTACCGTTAGCGTTATGGGCGTTAGAGTGGGCGTGGCAAATTTTTTTTTGGATCAATCGATAGGTATCGACGAGACCAATACATTTCAGTTAAAATTTTTTATCTAGCATGAAAATTGTGGGCGTCACAGGTTTTCGCGGTTTGTGGGCGTTAAAGTGGGCGTGGCAAACTTTTTTTTGGGTCAATCGATAGGTATTGATGAGAACAATACATTTCAGTTAAAATTTTTATTCTAGCATCAAAACTGTAGGAGCCACAGTTTTGGGCGGTTTGTGGGCGTTAGAGTGGGCGTGGCACTGTGCCGAACAAACTTGCGCTGCGTAAGAAGCTCAGGAATCTGCACGCCAATTCTCAATAGCCTAGCTCCCATAGTTTCCGAGATCTCAGCGTTCATCCGGACGGACAGACAGACGGACAGACGGACAGACGGACATGGCTAGATCGACTCGGCTAGTGATCCTGATCAAGAATATATATACTTTGTGGGGTCGGAAACGCTTCCTTCTGCCTGTTACATACTTTCCGACGAATCTAGTATACCCTTTTACTCTACGAGTAACGGGTATAATTATTGGAACATAGCAAAAGAATAAACTTGATGAAGGGTTTTTTTAGAAATAATTTTAAAAATGTTATTCTGACATTATTGTGCTATTATAAACAATATACATATACAGCTGAATAAAATTGGATTATAAAATGTGAACAAAATACCACAGAAAATGTATTTAACCTTGAAAATGGATAGCAGTTATTGTTAAGTACACATGTTCCATTAACGTAACAAGTTCTTTATTGAAATGTTTAAAAACATTGCACTATGTTTTGCTAATTGTCAACCATCAATCCGTCTGTTCGTCCTTCCATTAACATGCAAAACAAAAAGGGAAAGTTAATGATAGGGCGGTAGTCGATTCAAAAATACTCTATCCCAAAGGAGCTAACTTTATTTTATTTGTATATGGTTTACTGAAGTATGAATTTTAAACAAATTATGACTACAGACAGTATGACTACATGTTAAGTAAATAATTTCAGGGTAAATATCCTAACTTTTTTATTACGTTTCTATATAAACAATTGATTATTAGTGTGAACGAAGTGATAGCATCATTGAGTTATTATTTTCATTTAACAAATTTTCTTTTTAATAATTCTAACAAATTAATAGCCTTAATAATTTTTTTTTATATTTATGCAAAACCTTTTAAGGTCACTATAAACCCACAACTAAATTATTTTTTGGACAGGTTTTGCTAACAGTTATAAGTTAATTCAAACAAAGCAGAATACTTTAGAAAGTAATGATTCGATAGTTTTTAATAGCCACTTCATCAACACCTGTTTAATTTATTATTATATTATGTGTACGGGTGTATAAAACCCATATTTCTGGTGCTGGTATTCCGTAGCCTAAGCTTAGATATGTATAAAGCTGTTATCCTAAACATTCTTGATTGAAGTATGAACCAATTCATCGACTATTCGTCAGTCCCTCCCCTTTTTGAAAGGGTATTTAATTGGGCACGCATGTGGCTGTGCTGCATTCGACGGCGGCCTGAAAGGCGGCTTCAGTTGCCGTTGGTGAGCCAAGCGGCTAACAACGCCCAATTGAGAGCGGAAGGGAAGCCGGAAACCGGAAGCAAGAAGAAGACCGCGAAAGGGGGAGCGCCAAAATGTGAGTGTCTCCTTGCCTGCATTTGTTGTTTTCCCCTCAGTATGTGTCTGTGTTAGTGAGCTCGTGATTTGTTTACCTGTCAAAATAATAAATATAACTTTTGTTTTCGTGGGGCATAAAATACGGCCAGTTGTTGCTGTTGTTGGCATTGGTAGTGGATTCGAGGAACAAGCCAGCGAAGGACTCTCGACGCCTGTCTGCCGCTTCCTTGCTTCCTCCGTTTCTTGGCCAAGTGCAGTGTCAAAAGTCAAGCGAAGGATAATATGCCTGTCCGACAAGAAAAATGCCAGCCTATTTCGTGTAACCTATATCAAAACCTAAATCTAAACTAGGCCCTCTATAAACGCAATTGAGAGATCTGCGATAAATCTGAAAATGTGAAAACATTACCTTAAACAAATGATTTTTAAAAGGAAATGATTTGAATGCTGGTTTCAGTTCTAATTTTTAAAAAAAATATTTTAAATGGTTTAAAAAATATATAATAATCTAACTTACATATATTACCGAAAAGCTTCCCATTGTACATTCTCTCAGAAAGGAATTTGTTTTGATAGAAAAGTTTATTTAAAAAGTTTTAAACAAATCTATTCAATTATTTATATAAAGCTAACTAACAGTTTAAAACTATGAGCTAACTTAAAATTACAGCGCAAGCAACAAATGCTTTCGGCTCGTCTGGGCTTGAACGTTGTTTATTTTTATTTAAAGGCAACTTGCTTATATTTTATGATATAAGTTAGTTTTTTGAAGGAAGGAGAGGATTTTGCTTATGTTAGTGTTAGTTGTTATGTTAGTTTTCAAAGTTAAAGGAACTATATCTGTGTTGGGATAGTCAGGGGCATCTGATTATTATGTGATTTAAGTATATTGTCGAGTTGTTGCAGAATGGGCATATGTTGGGGATATAGTGAGCATTTGTAAACATGTAATGTAGCAAAAAGGGTACAAATAAATCAATTAAATAGGACAGTATTAAATAGTTAGACTTATAATAAACACAGATTAATGACAGTAAGGTAATTGATTTAATACGTTGTAAACTTAAATTAAAGGGCTCGGCTCAATTTTATTAGAGGCCTGAAAGTATGCAACCGTTTTCACCCATCGCCCCCCTTTCCCTTAAATGTCAAGATCGATACCATTTTGAAATAGCTTAACCTTACCTGAATTTTAACCCTTAACAGGCCTGCTTATTATAGTCTCTGCCAGGATGTTCCTGCATCATCGCCTCCATGGACTGATCTTTGCTAGGATCTTTTCGCTGCCCTGCAGCCTCATGAACCGACCCCAAGACAGGATTTCCATTTCCCCATCGGTCTGGAAGCAATCCCCTCCTGGCCAGACTTTTGTAAAATGCCGCAAATCGAGTTTGTTGGAAGAGCAGCGGGAGCAGTTGAATCCTTTTGGGAAGGATTACCGCATCTACCAGCAGAACGTCGACTTGGATGCCTTTTTCGGCGAAGAGCCCAAGTACGAGAAGGTGTCGGACGTTTGCCTGCTAAATGACCACTTCATCCTGGTCAAGATGCCGCCACCAGATCCCGTCCCGCCACCATCAAAGTCCAGGATTCCTCGTTGTTTCAAATGTAATCGCGGCAGCCGGGTTTCCCCCATTCTGGAGGAGGCTGGTGAGGAACCATCTCCGTTGAAATCCAGTTGCCTGCAGCCGTGGTCATCGCGCGATCAGAACGAGATTGAAGTCTTCGATTCCACCACCAGACTAACCAGTACTCCGAGTCGAGGTCCCCAACCAGCTCCCGTGATAGTGGAGCAACCGCACCCCACTCTGCAGCTGAAGGCGATCCAATCCGTGGTTCCTGGCCAGCTGCAGGTGCCTCCCATAAGTCGGGGACCCCTCCACTGGTTTCTCTGGCCCTTCCGACGGCGTCTGGATCCCGGAAGCAGATCCAAGCCCCAGCTGGCCGCCGTCCATAAGACCTACTTTGTGCGGTGGAGTAAGCCGCCGGACACACTTTGGCACGGATTCGGAGTGGACACGGTGGAGGAGAGAAAATCCGAGCTTCGACGCTGCCGATCGGCGGTGTTCTGAACTATCTGCTAACAATTTTGTATATATTTTCTACGCTTACTATCTTAAGGGTCCATAATTTGAAGAAATCAGGGGTTTCAATAAAGAATTTAAAGTAATCTAAACAATTGGTTTATAAATATAACAAACTAGTTTGTAACACCTACTAATTTAAAACAACCCTTTCGTTAAGTTTTCAAGGTCGTTTTTAGATAAATACCGTAGGTATGCCGAAAGCAAATTAGTAGATCGTTTGGGAAAAGTTTTAATCAATATATATTATCATATTTCTCTTAATAATGTGTATAAATTTAAATAACTTGTATCACCTGGTTCCTAGCATTACATCAAAATAAAAATTGTAGATTAAATTAAGATAGTATGTTAGAAATTATATATTTAAAGGTTCCAGTTTCCTTAATAATAACATTTTGTTAAGACATAATTGATGAAAAATATTTTCTGAGTTTAACAGAGTTTATTGATAGCTTGGCGGTAGTTTACTTACCACACTCCTTAAATATTCCTCAACTCGAGCTCTCATGGGCACATGTCAAACTCCAATTTCCGCATGCAAAATTAGTGGCTGCCGCGCCAACCTCAGTTTGCCACAATGTGATTGGACCCCCGACTCTGAAAAACTCTGCAGAACTGCGAAATAATACAAAGAAGTCAAGAAACAAAATACGAACCACGTAAATTGCTGGGCCAATGCAGATAAAGCCAGGCCGTCGAGGAATAAAAAGCGGAGTTAAACTCCTTTTTCAATGGAATTTGCACGCGTCCGTGAAGCCTGAAAGTCCGAGGGGTCTGAGGTTAGGTGGGACTGGGGCTGTTGCTTCATTAGCTTTGGGGCCTGGAAATGTCGGGCAATGTCGTTCGTTACTCCCGCCACGGCCAGTAGGTGGCGCTGCCGCAGGAGTCCCACAACTAATTACGAGGCAGCCCGCCGAAACCCCGGCCATAAAAACAAGTTCATGATAAAATGCCCAACTACTACGGACTACGGACGGGGGGACGTGGATGTGGTGGCGAGCTGCCATAGACTGCAAGCACCCTGCGCCACCATATACATAATAATAAAATAAAATTAAAACCGTCACGCCAGGCGTCAGTGGAAGTCCCCAGTACGTACCTGGCCAACAATCGCGGCACAAAACAAAGCCATCGAAACCCCAGCGAACCGAGTCCACAAGGAGCTGCCTCTGAAGCTGGGGCCGGCACCCAAGTCCACCTCCAAGTCCAGGCCAGGTCGAGAGCGGATCGGGCCAGCGGGTCACCGTAATGAACCATTAATATGCCAGTTCCCCCCGAAAATCCGGCGATAAGAACACCGCGCTTTTCCTACATCGAAATCGAACTAAGAGCACAGAGCACGGTAAAAAATGTTGATTAAAGTCATAAAATGTTTTAGAATGGTTGTTATTAGGCTAAATCATTTTAGTTCTTAAATTTATTAGCATATTGTTATAGCAGATTTAAACTTCTTTAAAAAAAAACCATTACAATAGGGACGAAAAATGAAGTTGTACGTTTTTCTTATATTTGATTATTGTTATTATGATTAAATAATTTAAAAAAAATTATATATTTATTATTATTAAAGTCTATCAATAATAATAAATAGATAATTCTTCTTCTTTTTCTTAACCTGGACAGCTTAGTTTTTATTCTGTAGCTCGAATTAAACTGCTGCTTAGTGACTAAGCTGTTAGAGGTCAACATTTTTGAAAAAACTATACTTTTTTCTGCAGTGTATAAATTGGAGTTCTCCATTGTTTTCCCCGCCGCCGTTAAAGGGCGACTTGTGCTTATCATTAATAATAATGTCGGCATGAGGCTAGCGCATTACCATTTGGCCAAATGCTCAATTGGATGGCTTGTATTGTACATGAAATTGGCTTTGAGCTATTGTGTGTGAGCAAGGGAGTTGGGGTCTGCGAAGGCACCTGTTCGGGGAAGGTAAATGCAACAAGCTAAGATCGAGCTTGCAGATAGTGTCTATTGTAAATGGAGAGAAATTAAGACCCTTATATATAAGAAAGTAAGAGTACTTCGTATTTAATAATCATTTAGGCTCTTGTGAGCCAGGCCAAATTACATAAAACTTAAATTACTATAAGATTGGATTTTTCTTTTGATAGTATGTACAAGTTGTGCATGCCTCATAGGTATACATGAATTAAATTTTATCAAAAATAAATATTTAAGTAAAAGTTAATATAATATTACAAATTCAAAGGGGAGTATACATATACTGGAAACAAACTCTTAATAAATGCAAATTATCGTTATTAATTTGCTGATTAAAAAAATAAATTTTATGGTATAGCGTTTTTGAACTCCTAACATAAATTATTTTTTTACTACTCCTCAGAAGTAGTATTAGTGTAGATTGCAATTATATAAATATTTAAGTGCCAATTCTGAAATTTGATAGTACGTTTTCGGATAATCTGATGTAATTTTTGATGATTTTGCACGGCACGGACTAGCTTTAAACCAAAATATTCAAGGTTACCAAATGCAAATAAAAAGGTTATTTTGGCCACCTTTTCCCCCAGAGCCACACCTTATTAACCCCCTCTTTTACATACCCGATGCCCAATACAAACTAAATTAGCCAGCCAATTCGGCTAGCAGCTCCGCTTAATTGGTGGAAAGTAGCGTAACCGTTCCGGCCACGTTAACTTTGGCACTCCGAGGGCGATGGAACCGCTCAGCAGCCGACTTGGACAGAAGACACTTGCTGGGCAGAGATGCCAAAAGGAAGCTGACAAGTTGCCAACCATCCAGGCGGTGAAAAGGAGAAGGAGCAAAAGGTCCCGCCAAGCATTCCAAATCGATTACGACTGTTTTTAGAAAGATCAAAGAGGGAGTGGGACGTTCAGCTGTCCCGCTTCTCCTCTAGCAAGGTGTTTATTAATAAAACTCCAACTATTTTGGCCCGAGAGAGATGGGTATAGGGAAAGCGAAAGAGACGGCGACAGAGCAACAGAAACAGTTGGTGGTACGTGGTACGCAAAGTGTTGACAATGTCCAAGTCGTTGGCACCGACTGCGCAACGACCTTCGGCCGGATACGGGTCCGGAATACGGATCCTAGGGTCCTGGGCAATCATCGTTAATGATGGCAATGTCCTTGTGCGCCCCGATTTGACAAATCAATTTGTGCGCTAACAGCATGCGCTCGACTCCCAGTCCCTTGCAAGTCAGTGGGATAACTCGAGGACGAGGCCGAGCACCCTCAAAGTACCTTGTTTGAGATCTCTCTACATCGGCGATGACAGGAATCACAGTACGAGTAGTTGGCCCAACATACCAAACCGAAATGTTTGCCAATACGTCTGGAATCTGTTTGGACGGGTCGTGGTGAGCAAGTGTATCTGCTGATAAATGGATCTGAGAGGGTTGATAAGGTAACAATCATAATATCGGGATCAGCCTGCAATGTTACTAAGATCCTTTAAACTAAACATATATTTTCTGATCTGATTTATAGTACGTACACCACATTTATTACAATCAAATGGCGTTGTCCTAATACAAACTAATTGTCAAGGCGTTAGGATACAGAGCAGATATATTTTTTTGGCATTCGTTATATCCATGAAGGCGATACTTAAGCGCTAGAGTTATTTTGCCGAAAGATTTGATTACCTTTGGTCAATGTTTGTCTAGTTGTTGATGTCAAAAAATAGTTTATAATAAAATGTATATTTGTACGTAAAATATATCTAAGCCCTTGCAGAGCGTGTTTTAATTTTAGTCAGAAGTTTGCAATGCAGAAATTGTGACTTCTTTAAAGGATCCGAAAAATAATGGAAACAACTTTGTTACCGCCCCAGTACATTTTACCATGCAGAATGAAGATTTTTAAAGCTCTTGATTTTATCTTGATTTTGTAACTTTATTTAACTAATAAAAACATCGGATTATAAGGCAGTGCTGTTAAAAGCTTTCATGAAAGGCTCGGCTGTATCAAACTTCTAGCTTTGTTTTTTCTGTTCATACATTCTTCTACTATGGGGTATAGCATTCTTTTAAGATTTTAGAAATTAGACTTAAATTGATTTTTTAGCTGATCGGCAACATAATAAAAATGCTGTATTTTTCGTTCATATTGAGTCTAGGATTATTCCAATTTAACAGAATTAATATTATAATGTTGTTATCCTGTTAAACTACTTTCTTCGTCAGGATCAATGAATTTTGTTGAGAAGATGAGTGCTTCAATCAATTGGATTGTTTCGTTACATTCCCTGTAATCCCAGTTTATTTCTCTATTATCCTTGACTTTCGGACTTTCATCCGCCTCGCACATCTCGATGTCCATAGCTCTGCTTTGCACAGGACACCTCATTAGCAGGGATTATCGCTGCAGTTCGGAACTCGGGAGATAGGACTCTACCTAGACGAACTCTACCTGACTTTGACTCCGTTCGCCCGACTGACTGACTGACTGAAAGCTAAGCCTTTCCTACTCTCCTGGCTTAACTCTTGCCTGCGAACCCTGCGAAAGGACCCTTTATCCTGCAAGGAAAGGGGTTCGTGTCCTGGCTGAGCGATGAGCATCGCGCACGAGGACGAAGAATGACAGCAAATAAAAGTTTATGGCACCGTCGTAAACGGGACGAAAACGAGTTGACCTGAAGGGAGGGCTGTGCGCCGTTTACTGCATTCTTCCTGGCAGCAAAGGATTATTTCCGAAACGGCCTAATCCCGGCGGTGGGAAAGGGAGTGGGAGAGTAAGTGAGACAGCCAACTGCTCGCACTGCAAATCCTTTCGCAACCTTTGGCCGCCTCCTGGAACTGGAAATTTTGATTCGCAAATCGCTCGCAAATCCCCCTCTTGGGTTAGTCCACCTTGCTGTCGAGTAAATATTTTGAGGTTTTGCGCTGCTTATGTGCCAGGCAACGCCTGGGTTTATTGGTTCATCATCGGATCAGCAGGTAGATCCCAATCGAAAACCCAATATCGAGCTCGATCGGGACCTGCCTGGCCCAGATCCGACCGACATCCGAGCAACAATTAATAAAAAATTAAATTAAATTTCATCTCGAGTGGCGTCGTTGTAAATTACTGTTTTCCCTGCCTTTGATGTTCAACACTTTGTCAGCTCATTAATCACGGCTTATGGGGAGGGCACAATGCCAGAGCAGGGAGATCGGCATGTCCATGATCTCTGGACAGGCCCAACTTCCATTATCGCCATGGCTGCCCCTCTGTGTTTTTGGATGTTACATCGCCGAGCTTTTCCTCTCGCGCGCTTTGCTGGGTAATTTTATATCGCTACCGAAAATTAATGCGTAATATTTTCGATTTAATCGTTTCCCGATGGAAGCTTTCTTTGCTACTGTGGCTGAGAATTTCCCTCCAGCTCAGTGGGTAGCGAGTTAAAATCGTAATTGGTTTATTAACCCAGTTGGCGATACTAGCATTCGATTTTGTCTAGAGATGGGAAGAGATGTCCCATACAGAGCTAGCAAATCCCCTGATTATGGTTTTTAGAAGAACGAAATCAACTAGATCTAAATGGATTTTGTGCAATTTTCCTGTCTAATCTGTCGGTCTACCTGGAAAACCCTTCCCCGATTCCTAAGTCGATTGTAAAGTCAATATTTACTTTTCTCTCGTTGGCCAGAGGAAAACAAACAGCGCTTAAGGTTTTTTCTAGATTAAAATAATAGAGACTTAGCCCTAGGCTGTCTGAGCTGTCTGGAGGTGAGGATTCAAGGATAATGACTTCATTAATTGCCATCGCTCGGACACGTAGGATGGGCTGATCCCCGATCCTAAAGGATGAGGTGTGAATTTGAGGTAAGTCCGAACGAGGGCAATTACTCTAAGTTACTCTGAAATCGAGGGGGCAATTAACACCTTGGTTGGAGTTGTCTTCGCTCTCCTGATGCGATGCAATCTTTGGCATTCCATTTCGGGAGTTTTCTCTTTTTCCGGAAACTATGCGACCCCTCTCACAGCTTGACCAGGAGTTCCGAGAGAAGGAGGAGTCGCCCCGGGGCGACTGTTGAGGTCTCCAGCCAGGTCCGTGGAAAGCGCAGCTACTTAAAGGCTCTAATGGCCCAGAGGATTTCCCATTTCCCGCTGCGAACAGAAGCGTGTCAAGGCTGCTGAATGGCCAGGATTTCGAGTGAAAGATCATGGAATACGGGATAAATTAGCATAGATATATTTATTTTCAAGGCACTTGCTACTTAGGCTATCTATCATCTTATCTTCCTACCCTTAGTTGGTATGGTATTTTCTAGGCTTAGGTCTACGAATTGGAACTATTTTGGGGGCGAGTCTGTCAGAGGTTTTCCACATGGAAAATGTCTGTACTGCCCCACACAAAAATGTTATTTTTATGTTGCTCCCCAGCTATGTACATCTTTGGCGACTTGTTCCAGGGATCCGGTGACACCTGCTCCTGGAGGTGGAGGATCCTTGCGCTTGGTGTCTAGTACCAGGAGTGGTAGAACGGCTGTGGCGGCATCGTTGTGTAGTTCACCTTCGAGGGCGATGGAAAGGCGGCGGCATTGAAGTTCTGCGGCATGAAGTGTGCCGAGGAACTGGGCGGCGGATAGTGCGGATGGGTGCCGGCGTACTGCGGATGCGCATGCGGATGTGCGTGCGGATGTGGCGCATGGGGATGTCCGTGATGCGGATGCGAGTGCGCATGGCCGGGGGCCGAGGGATAGGTGGCATATTGGGGCGCATGCTGGTACGGATGGAACATCTGGTGGGTGGTCACGTCCAGGGCCTGGCTCGTCGAGCTGGTGGAGTTCAGCGAGTCCTCCGGCGAGAGTGGCGCATTGGGACGCAGTGCCTGCATGGAGCTCCATCCGCCGTACAGCTGCGACTGACTGGCGGCCAGCAGGTCCGCCGATTCCACCTTCAGGGCAGCCGATAGCTCCTCACTTCCAGCACTGGCATTGGCCAGCGACTGTGAGGGATCGACTCCCGAGTTGCCCCCACTGGAGGTCACTCCTCCTGCGCTCACCACCGCGGAAAGGCTGTTGGGCGTGGGCGGCAGCTGGCCAAAGGCGGAGGACACCGACTCGTTGGGACTCTCGTTGCGCGGCATCGTCTGGTGGGCATCCGTTTCGGTTCCGTAAACCGATCCCAGCTGCGTCTCATAGCTGGACACGATGATGTTGCCGGTGGGTGTGGTGTTACCATTCTCCCCCGGTATTATGTAGCTCGCGGTATTGCCGCTGGGGTTATAGAACTGATGATGGTGCGGCGGTGTGGTCGTGATTCCCGGCGACAGGTTGCTACCGGTCATGGGAGCTCCGGCGGATACGGAAATGTTGGCGTGACTGCCGTAGAAATCGTACTGCTGCTGGTACACACTGGCGGCATCTAGGGTTCCCGGCATCATGGCCAGCGGAGCCATGCTGGGGACACTGGAAACCACGCTGGGCAGAGAGGTGGCCGTTGCTACATGGCTCACAGAGGAGACTCCAACTCCAGGAGCTACGGCCGAGACCGAGGTGTGTTGCTTGCGGAGGCGAGCTCGCCTGTTACTGAACCACACCTGGATGCGGGCCTCCGTGAGATTGGTGCGCTGGGCCAGCTCCTCGCGGGTGTAGATATCGGGGTACTGGGTACGCTCGAAGGCGCGCTCCAGTTCGTCCAACTGGGAAGCGGAGAAGGTGGTCCTGCAGCGGCGTTGCTTGCGCTTCAAGGCGATTCCCGGCTCACTTTCGCAGTCGGAGATGTCCTCATCGGAGGGCTTGTTGTGGTTGTGATGACCGCCCGAGACATCCGAGCCGCAGGAACTGGAGGCCTTGGTAACACCACCAGAGGGAGATTCCGAGGCGGAGGACAGCTCGTTGTCCAGCGGAGCATCTCGGCCACGCACCAGGCGGGAAATGGCGGACACCGAGGGTGCTGTGCTCCTGTCGCAGACTCCCTCGCGGATCAGCTTCTCGCGGATCTCCCAGGAGAACATTCCCGGATTGCTACGCTTGTAGTCCTCGATCCGGTTCTCGATCTCGGGCGTGGCAATCCTCGGCTTGGAGCCACCAATCACTCCCGGCCTGATGGAGCCTGTCTCCTGATAGCGGTTCAGGATCTTCGATACGCATCCGTGGGACACGCGCAGTTGTCTGGAGATCACACAGGGCCGAATGCCATCGGCAGCCATCTCGACGATTTTTAAACGGATATTGTTGGGCAAAGGACGACCGTTGATGAAAACTCCACCTAGTTGATTGACGCGCCCCTGGCCGCTGTTCATGTCTGGAATGGCAGAAGAGGAAGTGGAAATGGAAATTTTAGAGGCTTTTCCAATTTGCTAGGTAGCGGGAAGCGCGTGTCACTTGATTTACGGCACCTTCGTCCGGAGTTGACTTCCCGGGAAGAGGGAAACTCGGAGCTAAGGTCGAAGGTCAGAGGCGCGCGACTCTCCCGCCGGGCAACTAATGGCCATTAGAGAGTTGCCGGCGGCCTTGGATCGAACTGAGATGTTTATGGAAGGCAAGTGAGCAGTGAGTTTAGAAAGAGATCGAGAGAGATCGAGAGATTAGCAGGAGATCGGTGATATTCAAGAAAAAGCTCAAAGTGAGATGGGAATGGATATATCTTTAAAAAGTTTAAGGGCCTTTGAAGATATATCACCTTTTAAAATAAGCTCAGGATGATTTAACAACTCAAAAACATGTTAAAATAAAAGAATACTTAATAGGATCCTCAAGATAATTAAGATATGGTTTGGACGGGTCTAAGTTCCACTTGGAAAAACTTCAGAACTTGATGTTACATCTGAAGAGATTCCGAAAGCTTCGGGTATCTTGAAGATATGTAGAAACAGCAGACACTTACCTTGCATGGTAGAATATCCATTGAAGAAGGGTCTGTGCATGGCGGCAGCAAAGGCGGTTACGGTCATATTTTTGGGAGCTCCAAGATCCGCGAAGTTGTCCCGGCACAAAACCGGCGGTAACTCAGTCTTGGAGTTCGTGTATCACTTGGTTATCTTATCACTTTAGATCTAGACGATTTTTGGACACTCTGTCAAATTCATAAGTAAGCGTTGCGAGGTGTTGATTAACCGATTAGTTTCAGTTCGAATATCTTTGGGCGCAATCTCGATAAGGCGAGGAGACGGAGGCAAAGGCGAAGACGAAGACGAGAGCGGTGTGACTCGTTGCGCAGTCTGTGCCTGACTGACTTCACCATCCGAACGTCGGCCAAGATCGTTGCCTTTCTGTGAAGCCCCGGCCCAGACGTCGGCCATATCCCATTGCCACTTGGCAGGTAACCACCACGCGGACCAATCGCAGAGCTCTCTACCGCGGCCTCTCGCTCTCGCACTCTCTGCCAGATATCGGGCTATATAGCACCCATCTCGCTCGTCGCCGGGGGGCGTCTCAGCTGGGAAAGCGTCGTGGAATGGGGGAGTAGAAAAAGAACTTTGGATGGGGTATACGAGAACAAGGGCACCCAATATTACACAGGCTCCTTGGCATTCACGATTCCCATCCTGGGCATGACTTTAGCTCCTACTAGGTGGTTTTTGAGAGGTCTTACCGGTTTCCGGAAATTATAAATCGTATTAAGAGGTAGACCTAATTACATCAAGTACTCATTATACACTTTTCAAGCGTAGTATATCCTTTATTGACACATTGTTACAAGGATATGTCTGGCAACAATTTGATTAGTCATCTCCCAATGATTATATAAATCTATTGAAAAGGAAAAGTTATCTTAGGTTATCGGTATTCCTGGGCTGGGGTTCTTTGCTCGATATATTCTTTAGGGTTCCACTCGACCCTGGAAATCAAATTAGATATTCACTGGAACTCATAATGCAATCGAATACGCGTTTAACACTCTTTACAAGCGTAATATATCCTTTATTGATACCTCATTAGGGCTTTTCATTTATATAGGCGTGGGAGCAGACAGTTTTCCGACAGTTATAGATAGCAATCGGAACCGGTCGAAAGAAGTTTTAATAAAACAATATTGTGGTTTAAAAGTACTAGGATATAGTGCAGAAAAAAGTGTACAAATATTAACAAATTACATGTAAAAAATGGATTTTTTATAAAATAATAGTGACTTAAAAGGACCAAAATATGTTACTTTAAGAATGTCTTGTGAAAAAAGAGGAAAATCAATTTTGGACAAGACAAGATTAAGTGGATTATAACGCTTTAGTGTTAAACGCGAATTGGATTGCAATTAAATCATCTGATACTGACCAGTTTTAGCTATTACACCATTAAAAGTTCAACATTGGGGTTCGAAATATCCGAACTATATCCATATCCTTGTCACGCTTTTGAAACCATTATGCTCCGGTGCTCAAGGTGATGGCATTGTTGCGACCCTATTCTGTGGGCTGTCGTGAGATTGATTAATTATGGAATTTCACGCCACAGAGGCCCTCAAAAAGAAGTTAAATAAAACCGCTGGAAAAGAAAGCGCCGAGCGGGATAACTACGAAAACCCGAAACCACCGAACAATAGAGAGCGCCAAGTGTTGTGAGAATTAATGATGGACCCCGGTCGAAACGCCAGCGAGGAAATTTGCCCAGAGAGACGTGACGAATGCGCATCCTCCTGGCTCGGATCCGTATCCAGATCCAGATACAGATCAAGGACGACGGAGGCCGCAGGGCAACAAAGGTTGGGTTTCTACTGCTCGGTGCGGCTGCCCGTTGGGAGTTTGGTTAAGCAAACCCAACGGGAGGAGTTCGTAGTACCAGGCACCCAGTAAGGAGTCCACTCATTTTCGCCTGGCAGGATAGCAAAAACCCTGACGACCTTGAGCCGCGGCCTTGATGGCAAGATGGTATCCGAAGACATTTCAATTGGAGCAGGCACAGGGATATAAACTATAGGGAGAGAGGCGCCTCAATCGCCGATCGATACCCTATCCGATTCGATCCTTGTTGATTTCACAATTTAGCAAGACAATGAGCCCTGAAAAGGCAACTCATATAACGCTAATTTCGCGCTATCAACACTCGGAAAAGGGAGATCCTGCAACAGGATCGGGACTCTGTGAAGAGAAAGGACCTGGCAGAGATGCAGGAAGCCGTAGGAGGCATCGGTGCCATAAACGCTGCGAGTCAGCTTCGCTCGCATTTCCACGAATCAGCCAGCGGGAAAATGAAGACACATCCGTGCAATGAATAAGGATGTTAAGAGACTTTTTATGATGCCACCCAGGGTGCTATGAATGAAAATCCTCCTCGTGATCGTCAACTTTCGCCAACGGATCTCTCGTACCTGCGAAACTGAATCTCCAAGACAAGGATCGCATCTGATTTGGATGACCTGCTTCGAGAGGCTCGTGCGCCCAATCGATGCGAACAAATAGCTCTATAATCGACGACAACATTGAATGGATTGTTCCTTTTATTTGGCCCCAATATACGACAATCCCTAATTTTGAAAACTATCTACATTGCCCGTTGTTGTTTACAAAATGAGTAGACTTACTTAGTATTACTTCTTTTTTTTGTATTAGCCAACATTATAATAACAACATGAGGTAACCCATAAAAATATTGAAATATCTTTGTAAGTTAATATTCAAATTTTTAAAGATAGCCCCCATTTAAAAGGAAAATCATTTCGTTACAGAAAACAAAACAATTTGCAATAAAGTCTAAAAGAAAATCAAAAGATTTGTTAGTTTCGCTGTGATCGTCTGACCTTTTCATATAATCTATGTGCCAGTGAAAAGTTGTGCAACAACTGAGTTTTTTATTATTCCAGGTTATCTACTGTAAGCACCATAAAATGTAATAAAGTGTTGTTATATAAGTTATTCAGGGTTTAAAAATAGGGCACCGAAATTATATCACTCCATGGATATTTGGTTTTTCCGATATTATTCAATCTGGCTAATGGGTATGTCCAAGTCTTCAGAACCTTAACTTTATTTTTACAACTTTTCTCCTCTAACTTTCTGCTGCTGTTTGTGTTTGGCAATCGATTCGCTTTGGCCGGACGTAATGTGGTCTGTTGTCACACATTGGAACGGCCTTGATTGTTTCACGTTCCCTGGGCCTAATGTCTTTATCAGGCCCTTTGCGCTCGTTGTTTTTGTTGCTGTTCATTTGGATGCTGTGGTGTGCAACGAATTTCTGTTTCTTCTTCTGCCCACAGCCCACAGAAGGCTCTTCCCGTAGAAGGCACTACGGGATGCTTAGATAATGAACTATTTAGAGCCATGATTTCTAGAAATTAGGGAATTCTGGACAGAATATCTTAATGTACCATGGCATGCCATGTCTAAATGCGTCGTATATTATCCTTAGTTACCTATTCTCTGTATTTAAATGGTGACGAAAAGGCTAAGATAAGTAAATACCACTCAAAGGTTGTTTTTAACATTGTACGGTGTAACTGTATTTTATGAAACGCGATTTCTTTAAAAATTGGTATATCAATCTTTGGCGACCTTTTAATGTATTTTCTTAATTTTCATAAATTTAAAGCAGTATATTTGTACAACTATTTATTAAAGTTTTAAGTAAAGTCTTATAATTTATTTTGATATACTTTATTTTAATGCGTTGATATTTATCTTTAAGTCCCTAAATAAGTAGGTATTAAAAGTGAATTTTACTTTTATTTCCCCCGACATAACTTCAGTTATAGTTCGAGTCTTAAGCCCACGCTGATCCTCTGGTCCTGTTCTGATCCTCAAATATTTCCACTGGATCGACAGTCTGGCAGGCGGCGATTGACTTTTTCTTAATCCGCAGTAAGTTTTAGTAAATACGAGTCGCAAAAGAGTCTCCCTGGTCACGGCCCATCCCAAAACCAGCCCTCTGAATCTCCCAGCGCAGTTTTCTCCGGAGTCCGGAGCGATCGTAAATCGAAATCCCTGCTAAAGCATGCAAACAAATAGCGGCAAAATGCGAGATTAGAGGGAAAGTCGCACCAGCTTAGGCCCTGGATCCTGGCCATCCTGCATCCTGGATCCCGCAGATCGCCAGTTGACTTTTTCAAATATTTTGGAAAAGTTCTCGAGTGTTGATCGCCCGATTATAGCGGATAATCGCATTACAGACCGACGTTTTATTGATCAACATTTGTAAACGATTTGGCATGGCAGTTGGGTGGGACCCGCTAAACCGGGCCAAGGAATCCCAGGTAGTTATAGCCACGGCCCAACTGCCGGAGAAAAAATGCTGTGGCTTAACGCAGCCCACGCCCACTGTAAAAAAGGGGGCGGAAGGCTGAGGGCCTTTCCCGATCTCCGGGCGATTAACCCTTGCTCTTGGTACCAGTTTAGCCGGGCTAATTGAAGGCATTAGTTGTTTGTGGGTCGCGAGGTGGCTTCCGCAGAACTGCTTTGTCCTCAAATTAGCATCTCTCATATGGCTCGATCGGATTCAAAGGGAACTTCGCGCCGCTGCCCACAATCGTATGGTTTTGGCACACCGACCGCATGGCATTCGTCATGCACTCAGGGAAAACACTCCGCTGGAAATGCAGCATACTATTTCCGATTCTATAATTATGCACATTCATGCAAAACAATATTGTCCAGAAATAAATATTATTTTCTTCAATAGCTGATAAAATCAGAAGAACATTATATTTTACAACTCGAAAATGTATTAATTTATTTTTATTACTTGTCAAAATATATTCATAAATACTGGAAAAGTAACATACAATTTCCTAGTATGCATAAGTACATTTGGTTACCCTTAATGCAATCAATTTATCAATAAAATGTTATATGGCGACTTTTAATAACAATCTTTTATAACTATTATTAATAATTTTATTTTCGAAGTCCCAAATACTTATTTTTTTGGTTTTTTAATAAAACTCAAAAGTAGCACTAGTAGACTTCTATTTTTTAAAGTTTTTGACAACTGCAATCAATAAAGTTAAAAAAGCCTTAAATTCAATTTCGAAAACAATGAAAATAAACAATTAAAAACAAGGAAGAACGCTGGCAAATTTTTTTTTGGATCCATCGATAGGTATTGACGAGACCAATAATAACATTTTTTATCTAGCATGAAAACTGTGGGCGTCACAGGCTTGGGCGGTTTGTGGACGTTATAGTGGGCGTGGCAAACTTTTTTTTGGGTCAATCGATAGGTATTGATGAGAACAATACACTTCAGTTAAAATTTTTATTCTAGCATCAAAACTGTAGGAGCCACA